GATTTATTTCGTACTATGAAATTTGATACCATGGTTTTTACATTGTGCGTAATTTTTTATGTTGATAAACAAAAACACAATTTAATATTGTAGCAAAATTTCAAAAAATTCGTTGATATTCGATCGAACCCTCAAGAAAGTACGCTCAGATCAGATTTCTAAACTTCATGATCAGTAAATCAGTACAGGGTATCCCAAAATAACACGTCAACCCTCGGAAGCAAATAGGAGACAAAAAAATGCCGTCAAGTAGGTTGACTCAGCACATGTCACGTGGCATCCTTTCAAAGAGTCCTTAAAACTCTGAGCACGAAGCTCCTTATCCCGACTACCCGCATGCTTTTCACGAGCAATGCGATTTTGACATTCGTACGTCTTTCTGGTCCACCCTGTATAAGCTGGTCGTTGATCCCCCAATGCACTCAAGCAGTATATGGAGTGTAACAGGCATTGACAGATATCAACTGGAGATTGCCTAACGGTAGTCCGCATACCTGCTTGGATTATGGGGATGCTAAAAATGGATCTGTCAGTGTATCAAGTCAAATGGAGATAAGATCTCGCATGGACGGCCGTTGTAACGACACGCTTTTTATACATCACTAAGCGAGGTAATGATAAATAATTTAACACTCGCCGGGATAAAAATAAACTCAATTTTTCATTGAGTGGTTCTGCTATATAGGGTGATTCGAGTAACAATAGCAATATTTATGGAGTAGAAAGTAGTTTTAGAAAAGTTACTAAAATGGGTACTACAACGTTTCATTACCAAGATACAGTGAACGACGTTAATTAAGTTAAGATTTTAAGTTATTAGGATAACTCTGATTATTTATTCCAATTTTTCTGTATCGATAACCCCTCAATAGACAGTCCATGGAGAATTAAATACCACTAAGTGACATATAAATCCGAACACCCAGTTTAAATGGTTTTATTTTAATAAAAGTTGGTGAATGTATTTATCTTACTGTAAATAACAAGTGAAACAATTTTCAGCCTTATCAGTTGGACATTCCGGTTTTTATACTGCTTTTTTTTAATTCACTAACGCTCTAAAAATGAATATTTCAGCCGCAGTAAAGAATCAACGTTGGCGGATTTTGGTTCTTGACATCCTTTACGATCGGTTACGATGCCTAGAGTACGGAGACCTGTACGATTTCGTCAACTTAGTGAGTTTGATAGGGGCCGTATAGTGGGACTTCGGGGAAGCTGGACTTTCTTTTCGGGCAATTGCAGTTAGAGTGCAAAGAAGTGTAGACACTGCGGTTAGGTGTTGTCAGGCATGGCTTCGAGAAGGCCGTACGCAAAGAGCAAGGGGCACTGGACGCCGCCGTAGAACAACAGACAGTGAAGATCGCCGCCTAAGATTATTGGCCAGGTCCATTGCAAATGAATGGTTTGCAGAACACGGAAGACCTATTGGCATGCGAAGTGTTTACCGACGAATGAGAAGTTTTGGCTTGTTTTCATACCGGCCACACTGGGTCCTCCCTTTAACTCGAGAACACCGACGTAACCGCCTTAAGTGGTGCAGACAACGCTCACTCTGGGATCAGGAATGGAACAGTATTGTCTTTAGTGACGAGTCTTGATTTTGTTTAGGCATGCACGATGGTCGTGCCAGGGTTAGAAGGCAACGTGGTGAAATGAGGAATCCACAGTTTTTTGTTGAAAGACATGTTCATCACACTGTTGGAGTTATGGTTTGGGATGCTATAGCTTATGGTTCCAGGTCACCTTTAATCTTCATCAGAGGTAACATGAACGCGCAGCGTTATATCCACGAAGTTCTAGAACCCCATCTTTTACCCTATCTTGACACCCTGGAAGATCCAACTTTCCAACAAGATAATGCCCGACCACATGTTGCAAGAGTCACAATCGACTTCTTTCAACATAATGATGTCACATTGTTACCATGGCCACCAAGATCTCCCGACTTATCCCCAATTGAGCACGTGTGGGATATGATGGGTAGGAGATTGCTCAATTTGCAACGTCCTCCTCAGACTCTAGAAGCACTTCGAGAGGAGTTGGTGGTTGCCTGGAATGAGATACCACAGGAGGACATTGACCACCTGATCAGAAGCATGCCTAGGCGCGTTGGAGAATGCGTAGCACATCAGGGTGCATCCACACACTATTAAAGGTCAAAGGGCTTTAAAGCAGTGCAATCATTTTGAAATTTTTATCATTCACTTATTATGCTTCATTAAGTACTTATACAAAATTTTATTAAAATAAAACCATTTAAACTGGGTGTTCGGATTTATATGTCACTTAGTATACAATAGATAACCCCTACAGACTAAAAAAAGGTGGCTATAAAAAGTTGGTATTTCCGGAGATAGGCCTGAAGCTCAAAACAATTTTTTACCATTCCAAAGTTTATTTTAGAGTTTCTGACGTTTCGTTTTTCGTCGTATAAACATTTCACCTCAAACAAACTGGACATACTAAGATTTGTTAAACAGTTCATTATTATAGGGTAATAATGAATAATGTAGAAGAATGTTTTATACCAATGGGGGAATTTCGAAAATATTTTAAATTCGTGTTGTTTTTGTTTGTACATTTAGTGAAAATCAAATTTGAAATGCCAGATATCTGTGATAAGGATATATATAAACCTTTTCTAAATCGAAAATATATTTTTTGGAATTCGTTACAAAAAGTTGTTTTGGCTCTAGCAACATCGTCAAAAGGGGTCGTTTCTTTATAAGATTATGCCAAAAAATGAATCAAAATAGTTTGCCGCACGGGTAATACTCGAGACACTTAGCTCTTAAATCTTTTTGTAGACAACATGAGGTAGCCTTCACAAAGCATAGCACGGAATGGGGTGTCCGTCCGCTAGGATCTTGTGACCACTAAAATTTCCCCAGCTATTTAAATGCGAGGTTTGTTTCAAAATCAATTCTGCATGGGTATGAACGATCGAAGACGTTTTTATAAATATTTATATGCGATAAAGGCAATAAATTCAGTGATCAGTGACCTTTGTACGTATTTGTTAATATAATAATGTTTTCATTGCTGTCGCATATAAGTACATAATAGGAGTGGAACTGTTTTATACATATCATTATAGTAAGAGAACTTTTACTTTCACCAAGCGAGCAAAGATTTATAATCAAAATTACAGAATTTCTCTCTGATGAATAATATGATAAAAGAGAACGGGTTTGTTATTACGATAATCATCTGATTTCTTTGCAACGGTATTAAGCGTAACAGAGAACAAATAATTGTTATAGCCTGAGGTCAAGACAATTTCAGATTTGGCCCAGGAATGCAGCATAACCCTTCAAATCTAGGTCTTGTGGAGGGTGTAACTCTATTCCAATAAGAAATGAAGCAGCATTTCGAAAATCATATAAGGAGAAATTAGTCTTCGAATAATCGATAGAATCACTCATGTTTTAGAAGCATTAATCATATCAGCTATATTTTTCTGATTTGCAATGCAAAAACAAAATAATAATAATAAAAAAAGTCTTTCTATTTGGGCGTAGTTTAGCATATATGCAAAAATACATGCAAACATGAATAAATTATACAGGGTGTTTCAGTTTATTGTTGCATAACTTTAAGATTCGATAGAACTTTTAAAATTAATGCATAAAGTCTATATAAACATGGGTCGAAAAAAATACGTGGTTTCCGAAATACAGAGTCTTTAAATTTACTTTCTAAAATAGTGTTTTTTTAAATATTTCGAACAATATTTGATGTATAACAGTGTAAATTGGTATACAGAGGTTTTTTGGTACGACAAAACGAACCATGCGCATAGTTTTACTATAGCCGCTAGAGGGCGCTCTCTACTGTACCTGTAGTGTATTAAAATGACCGAAAAATTTTTCTTAGTGCAATTTTTTGCTTTTTGAATAAAAAAACTGATTCTTCGCACTTTTCAACATAAAAAAGCTCTCTTGTGATTTTTCGTTATAGTCTTTAAGATATTTCGATTTTTAAGATTCGATGCATTCTTAATTATTTATGCTACAATAACGTTAAAGTCAGTATCTCGATAATTTTTAGAAGTAGGCTGTGCCTGCAAATATTTTTGAAATTGGAAGCAGAATAAGGTTAAACGTCAATTAGTTGACAGTTAGTTTTGTTGTCTGTTGAAACGTGAAACGTTTTTTTGCAATTGTGAATGCACGAAATTTAGTTTCTTTTACCTGTTTTTTTTTTTGTAAGTTTTATAAAAATGCCATTTTCATTCTCCAATTCTGTAGTAAAACAAATGGATATTAAGACATTGATAATTAATAATGTTTTAATCTTAAGAAATATAGCGAGTATTTTTAGCACTTCTTACCAAACCAAAAAATGCTTTTGGTGTTACGCCACTGGAATACGCCCCTATATTAAGAGTAGTAACTTGGATTTGTTCATTAAGCTGTTTAATTGCCTAGTAAAATTTATAAATTCCGTTTAAATTACATAATGTCAAAGTAGCAAGTTTTCACTGCACGCCACTGGAGGCAACGACGTTCAATCTTTTTTCGAGCCCAAAAAATTCCACTTCCTGCAAAAGTTTGCTAAAAAATATCCATTCTTAAGAGAAACCTCAAAAAAGTCCCTTTTTAGGGAAAAATTTGAGAAATACCTTTTTTTAGGATAGTCCAAAGATCAAGAAGATGCAAAGAAAAATTTTCAAGATCAAAAATTGAGAATCTGACAAAACTTTGCTAAAAAATCTGATCTTCCTCTACTCACCCTGTATAAGTGTATAAAAAAAGAAATATACCGGTCGAACCCCATACGTGTTCTCAAAGAATTGATCAAGAACCTCCCGAATACCACAACTCGATATCTCTTTCCATTTCGAAAATATCCAGTTTTGAGTTTGGGTAAAATGTTCCATGTTGCATAGTCAGTTTAACATAGGTATATTCATTAGACCCATTATTTAAGAAATGCTTCCTAATTGGTCATTTTTGATCTGTGGATAAAATGTTGGTCGCCGGATAGCAAAATCGTTCATAATTGAATCATTTAAAAAGTTTATTTTCATACAAATTCATCATCACAGTTTTTCCAAAATATTCCATCAAATATTTAAATGCTAATAACTAATACTAGTCTTATACATGATCTGATCTATCCACCGATCTGGATCAATTCTCCAACTTCTTAAATCCCATCCAAAATCCTCTCTCAGCCTGAGGATTGATCGAGGCCTGACTCAGCTTCAGTGGAATCTGAGTCTTCTCTGTGGGTACCAACTCAAAGTGGCTCAGCAAATGGAAAAAGACAGCCTTCATTTCCAATAGGGCGAATCTGTTGCCTATGCAGTTTCTGGGACCCAGACCGAAGGGTAGATACGAGTAAGGGTTGATTTTGTCCTTGTTTTCGTCACTGAACCTTTCTGGATCGAATCTTTCTGGGTGGGGGTAGTACCTGAAGACACAAAAAAGGAAAAACAATAAACAGCGAAATCTAAAAACGCCTACATCCTGCTGGAAGATACATGGACCGGCGTTCAAACATGTATATACAGGGTGTGGCTGCATAACTTTCTTTTTTTACTGGGCTGACACCAATCCTCAAAAATTGCATCAAAGACCTAAAGTCACAGTGTGGCGTGCAATTTCCTTATCTGGAATTATTGGTCCCTGACAGTGACAGTGAATTCTGAACGGAATGTAAACGTGTTACAGGATTTTTTTCCACGACTAGATGAGTTTGACCCCATATTTATGTGAATAGTCCGGGATCACTACAAAATTTGAAGACCTCAAGTGAAATTAACACTAGGGCTCGATAAAAGTTATAGAATTGTTTCTTAGCTATCGGACGATGACCTTGGATGTAACGTTGACCTTGAATAAAATAACCTTCAAGGTCACGCTCCTCCAGAGCGTGGCCCGTTGTGATTTTTTTTGTATGGACTTTTTTGAAATCTCGCATTTATATGAATAGTCCAAGGACCCTACAACATCTGAAGAACTCAAGGTCAAATTACCACTAGGACACAATAATCCTTCGGGAATGCATTTTAGGGAAAAATGCTTGAAATAAGAGTTATAGAATTGTTTCTTAGCGGTGTCCTTGGATGTGACCTTGACTTTGAACGTAAAATTTGATGCTTGGTTCATTACCGGAATCAAAAGTAGTGGTTTATATTTACAATTTTGAAATTGACCTCAAAATAACCTTCAAGGTCAGGCTTCTCCAGAGCGCCTCACCTCAATTAGCGGCGATGGTATGTCGGCCCGCACTCCCGATTAGATCCCTTGTGATTTTTTTGTATAGAGTATTTTTTAAAACCGTATTTATGTGAATAGTCCAAGGACACCACAACATTTGAAGACTTCAAGGTCAAATTATCACTCGGGCTCGATAACCCTTCGGGAATGCATTTTAGAGAAAATGATTCAAATAAAGGTTATAGAATTATTTCTCAGCTATTAGACGATGACCTTGAATGTAACCTTGACCTTGAACGTAAAATTTTATGCTCGTTACATTGCCGGGATCAAAATTAGGAGTTTACATTTGGAATTTTTCAAGTTACCTTCCAGGTGACGCTTCTCCCGAGCGTGGCCCGTTGTGATTTTTTTTGTATGAAATTCCTTGAAGTCTCGTATTCATGTCAATAATCCAAGGACCCTACAACATCTGAAGAACTCAAGGTCAAATTACCACTAGGACTCAATAATCCTTCGGGAATGCATTTTAGGGAAAAATGCCTCAATGAAAAGTTATAGAATTGTTTCTCGGCTATCAGACGGTGAATTTGGTTGTAACCTTGACCTTGAACGTAAAATTTTACGCTCGGTTCATTGCCGGGATCAAAAGTAGGAGTTTACATTTGGAATTTTTAAATTGACCTTAAAATAACCTTCAAGGTCACTCTTCTCCAGAGCGCCTCACCTCAATTAGAGACGATGGTGTAGCCGACCCGCTCTCCCGATTTGGCGCCTTGTGATTTTTTTGTATGGAATTTTTTGAAATCCCGTATTTATGTGAATAGTCCAAGGACCCTATAACATTTAAAGACGTCAAAGTCAAATTACCACTAGGGCTCGATTACCCTTTGGGAACGCATTTTAGGAGAAAATGCTTCAGGTAAAAGTTATAGGATTGTTTCTCGTCTATCAGACGGTGACCTTGGATGTGACCTTAACCTTGAGCGTAAAATTTTATGGTTGGTTCATTGCCGGGATCAAAAGTAGGGGTTTATATTTAGAATTTTGAAATTGTCCTCAAAATAACCTTCAAGATCACGCTTCTCCAGAGCGCCTCACCTCAATTAGCGACGATGGTGTGGCCGACCCGCTCTCCCGATTTGACCCCTTGTGATTTTTTTTGTATAGAGTATTTTTTGAACCCGTACGTATGTGAATAGTCCAAGGACACTACAACATCTGAAGAACTCAAGGTCACACTACCACTACCCTTTGGGAATGCATTTTAGGGGAAAATGCTTCAGATAAAACTTATAGAATTGTTTCTCGGCTATTCGACGGTGACCTTGGATATGACCTTGACCTTGAACGTTAAATTTTCACGCTCGTTTCATTGCCGGGACGAAAAGTAGGAGCTTACGTTTGAAATTTTGAGATTGACTTTAAAATAACCTGCAAGGTCACACTTACTTGTAATAATGATGAATCCCGTAGACTGGAAATAGTAAATGTTGACCTACACTTAGGTGCACTGGCTTTTCTCCAGGCTTAGCGGGTTGAATTGTGTAAGGCTTGGTGCAAACTCTGTCGGTGAATACTGCTAGTGGCCACTTGCGGAGAGTTTCTGTACATAAAAAGAAAACAGATCAAGATATTCCACGAGTCGTCCAGAATCACACCATAACATCGTTAAAATCATAATTATTATATATACAAAATTACGCTATGGTGTCCCTAAAAAATAAGAAACGAAACGTCGTCGTATTTAAGTGGTCTTCTAGAAAAAAAAATGTGTCAACGTTAATATACAATGTGTTTTGAATTGCCATTCCAAATGAAGTAAAAAAAATCGATTTTAGGAATAAACTGTTTTTTCGTCTATCTTCAGATGAACTGTCTGTTAAAACTTCCTGTATACTTTTCTATGAAAACTTTCATCGCCTACCTGATGTCACCATGTCCATGTACTTCATCTTGAGCAACGCCTCATAGGTGAGCTTTCCATTACACTGAGCTTTAGTCTCCATAATTTCCTCCCGCAACTTGCTTTGAACGTCTGGATTTTCAATCAACTCATGTGCAAAGAAACACATCGTTGACGCAGTGGAATCAAAGCCCCCGAAGAAGAAAATCATGACTTGAGAGGCGATATCTTCGTTGGTTATTTTGATTGGAGTCGATAATTTTCCTATAAAAGAATTTTCACTTTATTTTCAAAATATTTAATATTTTACCCAAAAAGTATATTTTCCTATAAACCGATATTCGGTGTAACTTCAATCTTGAATCTAAACAAGTGAATTATGCTATATTAACATAACAAAAAATCACCTTATCTTCAAAGTCGAGGATAATGTGTCCTTTTTTGTTTAACAATGTTTGCTGTATCTCTAAAAATAAAGCGGTGGGGGGTATTCCAAGGTCTCCGTAAAAAACACCCTGTATCTTCGAATCGGCTAAACCGATCTTAACAAACTTGGACTAGTTAAAAAGAGCTATTTTTAGCTACAAATTTTATAATATTTGAAGTTTTGTTAGTATCACATTTCCGACAGAAATCGTTGTCTCAAAAAAATTAAATGCATTGGTATGATTTTTTTATGATAAAGTAGCTAAAAGAAAATGTTATACGGAAATCCTTCAATTTTTTATCTTTTCTGGAATTTCTTTTATTAAATTGTGGCCCTAAAAAGGACTGATAAAAAAAATATTTTAATGCCCTCATAAATGCTCGAATTTCAAGATATCGAGATGCTGTTTTCATGAGCTTATTTAGTCATCATTCAGCTACTTTTTCATAAAAAACATTACAAATGCATTTTTTTTTCTTAGAAAATTAATCATGTCTGTCGAAATTTCGAAGAAAAATCCTTTAGCGGCCACATGTGGAATAACAAAACTTCAAATATCATAACATTTGTAGCCCAAGAATAGCTCTTTTCAACTAGCCCAAGTTTGTTAAAATCGTCTCAGCCATTTTGAAGATACAAAGTGTTTTTTACGGAAGCCTTTCAATACCCCCCCTACCACTTTATTACAATACCCCCCCCCCCCCCCCGAGCGTGAGAAGTAAAAGAATAATTGTAAATTGTAAATATCAAGAAAGGATGAAAGGAAGTAACTATGAAAGAAAGAGAACAAGAAGTATAAGTAGGGCTATCGTCCAATTAGTTTTGATCTGTTCTAAAAAACCCTGAAAAATCTTATGTGCCCGAACTTTTCACCACTATTCTGTTTCAAATCAAACAGGAGACAATTGATACCTACCATTAGTTATGTTTGACTCCTGGACAACGGAAAAACCGCTATCCAACGCTTTTTCATCAGCATCAATTTTACTTGCTTTCCCTTTCCTAGCCTCCATCATAAGATTTATCATGTCAGGTCTAACTATACCTTTCTCTTCTCTCATCCTTATCGTTTCGTCCACCAGCTTGTAGAAGAATTGTTTGATGTCTTCTTCGAAGAACGAGATGTTGAATATCTAAAATAAAGTTCATTTTATTTATTAACTAGCTTTAAGCTGTTACCCGCGACTTCATACGCGTTAAATTGTTGCTAACATCTTTAAGTATCGCTATAATTGCATTAGTAAATTGACACTCAATTGCATGCTTGTGAAATTTGGTTATATTGCTAATGGGGACACTTATAAGCTGGGAGAGGGAGAGTAAAACCGCGGCCGGAAAGTTAACAAATTAATAGTATTGCCATTTTTTTTAAATTCACCACGCTATTTCATTCTGGACCCGAATCCGTGAATAAATTTGCTTTTGAGAAAAAATTACCGATTTTGGGATTTTTAAAAAACCGTCAGACCTTTGTATCGGACCCTGTACAATTTTTTATTAGACGGCGTGACGGACAGTTTCAATCTACGTAGTGACAGAAATGTGCTAAAATTCTTTAAAATATCGGTTCGGCTTTTTTGGCGTGAAAACGGGGCATTCATTCATCAAACATAGATACATATTTGTACAAACATGCATACACACCTTCACATGTACGAGCCCCTTCCCACTTCAGTTGGCCTAACTATTGAAATCTTAGTTTTTTTCTTATAAAACACAAATAATAAAAATGTAGCATGGTGTTATAGGTTTAAAATATTAACAATGAATAATTTGATAATATATAGTAGAAAATACCAACTTTATCACTCCCTAATCAAATTTTCAGCATAAAAATAACACTTGCAATTACAGTATATCAACCTATTTTCATTTCAATGCAAAATAAATCTATAACGCATAGGTTGCTGTGAAAAATAAAAGCCATGACAATTGTTTTTATTAATCACAGGTGTCAGAATACGTTTAAAATAGTTTTGGGTAGTTGAGGTTTTCAAAATGGGTAGAGGTATGGTTATTGGTGAGAAAATTCGGTTACTGATGGTTAAATTTTTTAATTCTGGGAAATCAAACTCAGAAATTGCAACTTTGTTAGACTTATCGCGGTACAGTGTGAGAAATATTGTTAGAAGATATAACGTAACTGGTTCATTTAATATTAAGCCACGATACGTGAAAAAAAGTAATATCACAAATGCCGACCGAAGAGCATTAAGAAGAATAATCGTGAAAAAGAGGCGTGCCAATTATTTTCAATTAAGTGCTCTGTGGAGTGACTTTGTTGAAAGGAGAATTTCGAGGTCCACAACTCATAGACAGGCCCACAAACTGGGATTTAGCTCTTGCAAGGTAAGTTTTCTTATAAGAAAAAGTGAAGTAAAAACCCTAAAGTTGCACAACTTGTTTATAGGCCAAAGAAAAGCCACTATATTGACTGTCTGAAGAGAAAAGTGAAATTTCCAGCATTCATTGCGGTCTGGGGTAGTATGTCATCAAAAAGAGTAGGAAAACTTCATTTTATTGATGGAAATTTGGATACAAACAAATATTTGGCAATTTTAGAAGAATTGCTTTTACCAGTGATGAAAGAATATTTGACATCCGGCCAAGATTTTGTGTCTCAGCAAGATCTCAAAAAGGCTATAAAATGGATGGAAGAAAATAATGTACCACTTTTGAAACGGATTTCTAGCAGTCCAGATCTGTCACCTATTGAAACTTTGTGGCACGAGATCAAAAAGGTTCTACGACAACGTCCTGCTCGTACAATTACCGAACTGAGACAAAAGCTTCAAGAAATATGGGATTGTTTTACACCAAATTTTTGCCAAAACTTGGTTAACACTATGCCCTAAAGAATTTCAGCCAAGTGACATATAAATCCGAACACCCAGTTTAAATCGTTTTATTTTAATAAAAGTTGGTGAATGTATTTATCCTACTGTAAATAACAAGTGAAAAAATTTTCAGCCTTATCAGTTGGACATTCCGGTTTTTATACTGCTTTTTTTTAATTCACTAACGCTCTAAAAATGAATATTTCAGCCGCAGTAAAGAATCAACGTTGGCGAATTGTGGTTCTTGACATCCTTTACGATCGGTTACGATGCCTAGAGTACGGAGACCTGTACGATTTCGTCAACTTAGTGAGTTTGATAGGGGCCGTATAGTGGGGCTTCGGGAAGCTGGACTTTCTCTTCGGGCAATTGCAGTTAGAGTGCAAAGAAGTGTAGACACTGTGGTTAGGTGTTGTCAGGCATGGCTTCGAGAAGGCCGTACGCAAAGAGCAAGGGGCACTGGACGCCGCCGTAGAACAACAGACTGTGAAGATCGCCACCTAAGATTATTGGCCTTAAGGGACCGTTTCTCCACTACCAGGTCCATTGCAAATGAATGGTTTGCAGAACACGGAAGTGTTTACCGACGAATGAGAAGTTTTGGCTTGTTTTCATACCGGCCACACTGGGTCCTCCCTTTAACTCGAGAACACCGACGTAATCGCCTTGAGTGGTGCAGACAACGGTCACTCTGGGCGCAGGAATGGAACAGTATTGTCTTTAGTGACGAGTCGCGATTTTGTTTAGGCATGTTCATCACACTGTTGGAGTTATGGTTTGGGGTGCTATAGCTTGTGGTTCCAGGTCACCGTTAATCTTCATCAGAGGTAACATGAACGCGCAGCGTTATATCCACGAAGTTCAAGAACCCCATCTTTTACCCTATCTTGACACCCTGGCAGATCCAACTTTCCAACAAGATAATGCCCGACCACATGTTGCAAGAGTCATAATAGACTTCTTTCAACATAATGATGTCACATTGTTACCATGGCCACCAAGATCTCCCGACTTATCCCCAATTGAGCACATGTGGGATATGATGAGTAGGAGATTGCTCAATTTGCAACGTCCTCCTCAGACTCTAGAAGCACTTCGAGAGGAGTTGGTGGTTGCCTGGAATGAGATACCACAGGAGGACCTTGACCACCTGATCAGAAGCATGCCTAGGCGCGTTGGAGAATGCGTAGCACATCAGGGTGCATCCACACATTATTAAAGGTCGAAGGGCTTTAAAGCAGTGCAATCATTTTGAAATTTTTATCATTTACTTATTATGCTTCATTAAGTACTTATACAAAATTTTATTAAAATAAAAGCATATAAACTGGGTGTTCGGATTTATATGTCACTTAGTATATGTATTTTTTACGACTAGAGTGTACCTAAAATGTTTTTGAGAAAATAAATTGTTTTAGAAGTAAATAATTTCGTCATGTTTAGTTTATAAAGGCATATTTTTTTACAAATCTTGAAGTGGGCCAACTGAAGTGGGAAGGGGCTCGTATACCATTTAAAGGAAAGTAGGAATATTTTTATTCGCTTAAAGAAATGCTTTTTCTGGTGTGACGTCTAGCCCACCCCAATCAACAATCTACCTACCCTGAAGAGCCATGGAACAAGAAAATACCCCATGAACTTCAACCTTCTTCCCAGCGAACTGAAGTCCGTCGCTCTCTTTCCCATTGTATAGAAACTGTTGTCGGGGTTGTTCAAAGAATCAACCTCGATTCCAAAAGCACAAGTCGCGATGACGTCGTTGGTGTACCTCGTTAGGGTATCCTTCATGTTGACCTCTATGACCTCCCCATAGCGCGTTCTGCTCATAAAGAATTTGGCGAATTTTTCTGCGCAGTCGGACATCAAAAGGAACATGTTTCGCATTTTGCTGCTGGTGAAACTAGGGCTTAGCACAGCACGCATCTCACGCCATCTTTGATCTGAAGAATCAACACAGTTTCAATAAAAAACGATACTATCGGTTACTGAAAGATTTGTGTTCATCAATCTCATCACTTATTTGATAGTCGTTGTAATTAGTCCCCAGTCTCCGTTTGAAACTAAACGTATGGAAAATAGGTCCTAGTCGATTTATCTAAGAAATGGGTATGACGCATTTCTCGCACTATTCGGCATTTGTTTGACTGGGCGGTCCGTGGGACGTTTGACCATTAGTCACTGTCTAATGTACGTTAGTCGAATCTGTCATTCATGGTTGCCCAGAAACCAGACAATGAGCCGTATTAATAAAACAAAGGATATCCTTGTACTTGCGAATTTTGAAGGAAATCCTCCAGATGGTATTTATAATAATTTGAAGTAAATGCTTTTGCTTTTTGAGTATAAGCATATCATTCAAAGCAGTAACATAAATAAAAGGATATTCATAATCTTCACCTTAAACTTGGCATAGGAGCATACCCTTCAAAAATTCTGAGTGTGGTCAGTAGCAGACTCAACTTCGTTACGAAAGGTGGTCAAACGACGATGGCGGAAATTGTGGATGTTAGGGATGTTAAAACGTACAAACCTCGTTTACGTTCACTTGGTCGTGACTTCAAAAAATTATATCGGTTCGACGAAGCAAATGTACAATGGCTTGCGGACCGATTTTTAGTTGAGAATGAGGAAACCCGAAAAGGAGCACTTTCATGTATTCATAAAATGAAGATATGTCTACGCTATCTCGTTGACCCTGGATATCAAGGTATTGGTCAGGAACTTGGTGTTAGTCAAGCAACGGTATCTCGGACTGTGGATAGAGTTGTGAACAGCCTAGTTGCACAGTCGAACAGATGGACCAAGTTTCCAACTGTATTGTTTTTTTTTAATATTATAATTATAACGTTATAATTATAATTTGAAAAATAAGAAAATAGATTTAGTATAGAGATTATATTTTACTGATACGGTATTCAAAATAGAGTAAAGGACAAAAATATTATATCTTACTAACATAACAAACTTATTTTAAATTTTTGGTACATATATTAAATTCAAATTAACAGTCTTCAGTCCATGAAACCCGAATCCATGATTCTAATTTTTCGATGACATTGGATTGCTTCGATTGCTGCTCATCGAGCCAATCAACATCGTGGTGCTCTACATTTTGAATAATGCACATCAGTTCATAAGCACGACGAGCAGCGACTTTTACAGGTCTAACTTTCCTATCAGTGTGCGTGTTAACTTTTTTATGGATATTTTCGATGTGACGATTTAGCGACTTGACGGAAGCATGATAAAGACCACACGTTTTGCATGTTCGACTTGATAGCCTCAATTTTACCGTCGGCCAAAAATAATCGTAGGGCATTTGCAGGAAATCTTTGAGTGAAGCACTTAAGCGTAGAGCTAAATTGACAGGAAGATTAAGAAATTACCCTCCTTCATCCAAAACCAAGTCATCAGCTGTTTGTTTTACTTTTACACATGGTGGAAGAAACCCATTGTCTAGTAATCTAAATAAGCCACTTCTTGGACGACAGCATTCTGTATTTCTACATTTTACAATTTGAAGCCAGTATTGGCTCTCACGCACATGTTCTACCATTTAATGTCTGGAAAATCAGGAAGATCTTGTTCACCTGCCCGAACATATTTTGCATTAACATTATAAGAAATAAGATCTTTCTAAACGTTCATCAATTGTAACGCCACGTTGAAGAAATGAGAAATGAGTCCCAAAATGGTCATGAGGCAATATTAAACCAGCCAGTTCGCGACTAAGAGGAGCCATTCTGCGCTCTACTGTGTTATACGCACTTCTTCTAGGAGCAGTGGTAGCTAAAAACAATGCATCGAGATCATGTCGCTTAAAGTGTTGTATAGCAAACCCTATGACTTGACTGAGCATGAGTATTAGCAGTAGATGAAGTATGCTTTCCACTTCGAATAGCGATGTATGTTGGTCCAGAATATCCAACGGCTTGCGGTTGTCCTAGCATATTGGAAGTGATTTTGATACCAGCATAAACAGATGGTATTAATTTATGACGGTCAGCGATTACCCAATCGTGATCAGACAATTTGATTCTATATTCCATGTGCATTAGAAGAGGTGCTTGCTTACTTGCTGCAGTTACGCCAATAGGGACTCGAGCTTTATCATCTTGAGATATGAAAAATACTTGAGCTGGTCCAAGTATGGATGCTATGTTCTCTAAATAATGGATTGATGTTTCAGCGAACTTGCTATCTAGGTGGCTCTTGTGATGATCAGTTTGAGCCCGAATGAGCTTAACAAGGACTGTCGATGCATGTCTTCGTCCTTCTGCAAAATTAGATTTTCTGAGAATCAAACGAAGATATGTCCCACTGCGACTAATGTCAAATCCTATTTTACGTAATTCATCATGAGTTTTTACGCTGCGAATTGATTCCGTTCGTCTTCTATAATCTGCTGCACTCCCAAATAAAACTATATCCGCGATTGTTTTCAATAGTGAATGTTGATTGCTTTCAAGATTAGGACGTCCCACTGAATCCCTCAGAGATAGTCTTTTTTTTATTTCTGGATTTTCATGACAAATATCTTCTAACATTCTTTTCATACCATCCCTGTGTTTCTTCTGGGCAACTGCGTTTTGAACCTTCCTGTTTAAAGACTGTTTTGCTGTTTTTACTTCCTCGCGCAACTTAATGATCTGTTTATCAACTTCAGCACGGCTTGGCATAGTATCTCTGGCAGAATACAAAGCATTTAGATTAGATTAGAGTGTAATTTTAAGTTTACTAATTTTTGATTACAGTGCGAGCCGTGGCCTTGAATGTTTACGAACTTGCTCCACTGTGTAGTCCACTGAGTCACGCAACAGAGGGTTGCTGTGCGATTCCGCTTGACTATAACGTCGCTGCGCCTGAAGCTTGACATAATCTCTCAAGTAAGGAATGTCAAGGTCGCTGCGTAGTGTCTCGCTTGAGACATACCATGGAGCGTTGCAAATTGTTCGCAAAGTTCTACTTTGCATTTCTCGCTTTCCTCAACTAAAGTTCCCATGGTATAAAGCAAGCCTGTGATTGGTTTCTGAGAAGTAGTTTTCCCAGTTTTCAAAAATGGTGAATGTGTTGATTATTCTCGCGCCGAATACCAACAAATTGTTATACACAAGAAAGTTTCATTTTAAGATGGTGTTGGGAGGTGTCATGTTGACATGTTGGCCAAGATCCTTACAAGGTTAATGTAAGGACAAGCTTTATTTTTAAAAAGATAACGATCACTAAAATAACGAATATTTATTAGCTTATTTTAAAAAATATGGTATTTATTTCAAAATGATACTTTACCTTTCAGCGCAAATAAGTTCTTTGCAAATAGGGGGTCAACATCTTCAGGGACAAATGTCCTGTGGTTGCTGAAGTGATCAAAGTCTTTGACACATATACTTTTAATCAAATCGGGATCCCTGACCATGAAAGTAGGCACCACCATTTGATAACCACCTGTATATCTGCAAAATGTAAATAAATATAACCAATATTCAAACTTCTTCACTCTCAGCAAGGACTACCTATTTATGCCTTCTGAAGCTCAGAAAATTTTCGGAGACGAAAAGATTTACAATACATGTAATTAGCCTCTTAATACCTGTACAACAAATACAAGGGATGTCTTTTAAGTTTTGCATATGGAAATAAAACAACACGGTAGGTAGTTTTATATGACTTTATTGTTTTTCGAAGTATTCTCCACGAAGATTAATACAGATCTGCATAGGCGCTCGAACCAATTTTCGAAGCACTTATTCCACTCGTTTGCTGGCAGATCCAAAACGGAATTTTTGAATGCGTCAACTGCTTCTTCTGGTGACTGGAACCTTTGACCACGCAGACTGTTTTTAATTTTCAGGAAAGTAAAGAAATCGTTAGGACTTAGATCGGGACTATATGGAGGAGGGTCCAATAATTCCACGTTTTCTTCCGTTAAATACTGCCTTGTTTTTGGGGTGTGTGCGAGCTTGCATTGTCTTGGTGGAGGATGATTCTTCTATCGGGGTTGATTTTTCGAAGCTCGGTGATGACTTTTGGCAAACAAATGGTGGTATACCAATCCGCAGTAACAGTTGTTTGCTCATTAAAAGGAATTGTTGCAATATGACCCGCTTTTGACACAAATGTCGCGTTCGAAACACTTCGAGAACGGATGACTTTTGTTGGCTTTTCTTCACCTTGGAACACCCAAACAGCCGACTGCCGTTTATTTTCTGGTTAATAACAGTAAATCCACGATTCATCACCACTAACCATGCTGTACACATTTTTTGAGTTTCCGGAATTGATACGGCCAAGCGTTTTTTGACACCAATTAACCCTGGCTGCTTTCTGCTCTTCAGTCAACAGGTGGGGTATCCAACGAGAAACTAATTTTCTTACTCCTAATTCTTCATGTAAATTTTTTTGAATTGAGGTCTTTGAGATCTTCAAGGACGCCTCAATCTCGCGATATGTCACATGTCTATCTTCAATGATGAGTTTGCGCACAGCATCGACGTTTTCCTGGGTGGCTGCCGTTTTTGGTGCACCCGCCCTGGAATCGTCGCTAAGACTCACCTGTCCGCGTTTGAATTCTCCGTACCAACGGGAAATTGTCGACTGATGTGGCGCTATGTTGCCGAAAACAGACAGTAACTCAGCAAGGCGTTCTTGTTGCGATAATTGTCTCTGAAAGTTGTAATAAATTATGGCGCGAAAATGTTCTCGGTTGAGTTCCACTTTTCTAATGACTTGATGACACTTAAAAATTCACTGTAGTGAGAACACTGCACGTATTGTTGTAAAACTTGGAATTTAAGTTTACTAAAGAGTGAGGTTAAGATTCAGTACTGACGTTCGATCCGCGCGGCCTACTACTATGTTTATATTATATTCAAAACTTAAAAGACATCCCTCGCCAAATTTCAAAAGAATCGAGTAATTTTTTTTTTTTAATTGAAAACGCTACATTACCGGACCCATGCTTATAAAAACGTTTTCCATATTTTTTTAACAAGGAATCACCCTCTAAAATTTCTCCGCCTATTTTCCGAACACCCATTACATTTATACTGGGCAAAAAACAAAAATTGTTTCCCCAGTTTATTTTTACCTGTCATTGGGGTAGAGATCGTGCAATCTTTTCATCTGATCAGCAGCAGTTTCTCTCATGAAAAATTGTCTGAAGGTGTCTCCGAAAATCCATTTTGCATCAGTTTGCTTCACTCCTCTACGTTCCCAGTACGTGTAGCGATGCTTCAGGAAGAAGTACGCTCCAAAGCCGATCGTCAGGAGTGTTATCAGGAAGATCAGCATCTTGGTGGTGAAGATTAAAGCAAATCCCACCTTTAGACTTGGTCCTTAAAGAAGGATTTATTGGTAAAATTCAATGTCAGTGTATCTTTAGTGTACTTAAGGCGGCTCCGACGCAGTGAGTTTCAAGCCATTTACAAGGGTTCAGCTGTTTCAAAACTGACACTCCATTTTTCAATATTTTTGAATGAAATTCAGACAGTATGTTGAGAAGATGATTGCCCAGGGTGCTATAGGAGCACTTTTTGAAATTTTGTTTTTGAACAAGTTTTATTATGGGTTAAAGTGCGTACTTTTTCTGTTCAACTTCGCGAGTTTTTTAAAAAGAACCTAGTGAAAAAAATGAAAAAGTGGCTGTATAGCACCCTGTGGGATTTTGTATTCAGCACTCTGTGAAAATTTCATCTAAAAATATAAAAAAATAAAGGGTCAATTTCGAAGCGCGCAAACCTCTACAAATCGTATTTTGGACGAATTTTGTCTACTGTTTCAGATAATTTGGTGGACCTATTTCATATAATATCGCGTAGATAAGTCGTTCTGCAAATAGGTACTCATGATCGCGATCGCTGATACTCCTCGATTTTGAAGCCGTTTTACTTCCCACGTCATTGGCGAGGAAGTATTGTAATCGCGAAAAATTTCTAAAATGAGATGTTATGTCTTTTAAGTCATATGACATCTACATCGCGAAAAACTGTATCACTCATCAACTTGGAAATAACCGCTCGGATTTTTATGAAATTTCCACACGGGGTTACTAGTATGGCAAAGCTTTGTAGTTTTAGTCCAGTGGCAACGGTGCTATAGGCAAAAAAGAAAAAATAACTATCGCTAAAACTCCGTTTTTGACATTACTGGGGTTCCTTATCATTGACAGAAAAAAATGCACCCTGATGTGCTACGCATTCTCCAACGCGCCTAGGCATGCTTCTGATCAGGTGGTCAATGTCCTCCTGTGGTATCGCATTCCAGGCAACCACCAACTCCTCTCGAAGTGCTTCTAGAGTCTGAGGAGGACGTTGCAAATTGAGCAATCTCCTACCCATCATATCCTACACGTGCTCAATTGGGGATAAGTCGGGAGATCTTGGTGGCCATGGTAACAATGTGACATCATTATGTTGAAAGAAGTCTATTGTGACTCTTGCAACATGTGGTCGGGCATTATCTTGTTGGAAAGTTGGATCTGCCAGGGTGTCAAGATAGGGTAAAAGATGGGGTTCTAGAACTTCGTGGATATAACGCTGCGCGTTCATGTTACCTCTGATGAAGATTAAAGGTGAACTGGAACCATAAGCTATAGCACCCCAAACCATAACTCCAACAGTGTGATGAACATGTCTTTCAACAAAAAACTGTGGATTCCTCATTTCACCACGTTGCCTTCTAACCCTGGCACGACCATCGTGCATGCCTAAACAAAATCGAGACTCGTCACTAAAGACAATACTGTTCCATTCCTGATCCCAGAGTGACCGTTGTCTGCACCACTCAAGGCGATTACGTCGGTGTTCTCGAGTTAAAGGGAGGACCCAGTGTGGAGAGACGGTCCCTTAAGGCCAATAATCTTAGGCGGCGATCTTCACGGTCTGTTGTTCTACGGCGGCGTCCCCCTTGCTCTTTGCGTACGGCCTTCTCGAAGCCATGCCTGACAACACCTAACCAGTGTCTACACTTCTTTGCTTTCTAACTGCAATTGCCCGAAAAGAAAGTCCAGCTTCCCGAAGTCCCACTATACGGCCCCTATCAAACTCAGTAAGTTGACGAAATCGTGCAGGTCTCCGTACTCTAGGCATCGTAACCGATCGTAAAGGATGTCAAGATACCAAAATCCGCCAGCGTTGATTCTTTACTGCAGCTGAAATATTCATTTTTAGAGCGTTAGTGAATTAAAAAAAAGCAGTATAAAAACCGGAATGTCCAACTGATAAGGCTGAAAATTTTTTCACTTGTTATTCACAGTAAGATAAATACATTCACCAACTTTTATTAAAATAAAACCATTTAAACTGGGTGTTCGGATTTATATGTCTCTTAGTATACCTGTTACGTGAATCATTTTGATCTGAGGGTCGTGGACGAATCTCATGAAGAATTATTATAGAAAAATATCCATGGTTTCGCATAAATTATTATATGGCATTATGAAATATACATAGTCATGCCATAAGTTCTGTCCCTCGTTTTCAAACAAGTGTAGACCTGTTAATACTTGTCCGATTGTTTACATTGTGGTGTCAGTTGATTAAGCGCTTTTCGGGTATTTACATATACCTCAGTTTGTATTGATCTCTCGAAGCATAACGATGGAGTGGGGCAAGGCAGAGAACCGTATTGCAGTGATAGCTTTACATAAGTGTAATCACAGTGCTAGTCAGATTTTTGAACTCTTACGCGGCCTTCAAATATCGCGTAAATTTGTGTCTAGGACCATTCAGCGGTACAATGAGACGTCCTCTGTTGATGACAGGCCAAGAAGCGGAAGACCTCGTCAAGTAAGGACTCCAGCAGCCATCAAAGCCGTAAATGCCAGTATTCAAAGGAATCCACTCCGGAAGCAGAAGATCCTATCCAGGGAAATGAAGATTCCTGTCCGGACGATGTCGCGCATCATTAAACAAGACCTAGGGCTAGGGGCTTACCGGAGACGTACGGGCCAGCGACTTACGGCCACCTTGCGACACATCAGGGCGACAAGATCCAAGAAGCTCTTGGAGAGGTACGCAGCTGGGGGATTCCGAAAGATTTTGTTCACGGATGAGAAAATCTTCACCATAGAAGAAAAATTCAACTGACAAAATGACAAAGTGTATGCAAGGAGTTCACAGGAAGCTTCGGAGATCATTCCGAGAGTTGAGAGAGGCCACCACCCTGCGTCAGTCATGGTTTGGTGGGGGGTGTCCTACGAAGGGGTCACTCAGCTCCATTTCTGTAAACAGGGCGTGAAAACAAAAGCGGCAAACTATCAGAGCGACATACTGGATCCTATCGTCAAGCCTTTAAGTGGTACATTGTTTGCCAACCAACACTGGGTCTACCAGCAGGATTCCGCCCCCGCTCACAAGGCTAAGAGTACGCAGCGCTGGCTGGAAAGCAATGTGCCAGAGTTCATTGCTGCGGAAGATTGGCCCTCAGGGAGTCCGGACCTCAATCCTTTAGACTACAAGTTGTGGGACCTGCTAGAGCAGTTGGCCTGCTCCAAAGCCCACCGTAATATCGAGTCCCTGAAAGCGGATTTGATCCGATCAGCGGCAGCTATTCCTTTGGAAGCTGTGCGTGCAGTGATAGATGAGTGGCCCGCGAGATTGAAGCAGTGTGTGAAGGCCAAGGGGGGACATTTTGAATAAAACTGTTTGATTATGAATTCTAAAAATGTTGTCGAATAAATAATATCTTTCATATAAATATATCTTATGTTGTTTCATTTTTATCATGAGATTATCATGGGACAGAACTTATGGCACGACTATGTAGATGATTTGTTACTATGAAGCAGTTATCATATTTGTTACAACATCGAGCATGGGTACTGATTGGAAAATGAAATTAAATAATAGATTCAGTGAAACTGCAAACGCGACGTAATCCACGGTTCAATGTCAAAAAAGGTTCGTTAGATGTTTATGGTTATTCCACAATATTTCTTAATAAAGTTTCACAGTAAAATACCGTCTAAATCATTTGTCTTTGCATATATTTTCATATAATCGCATGAAAGCTTCTACAGGGTGTTCCTTAACGATATGCGAATATTTAAGGGTGTGAATCTACACGAAAAATTAATGTTAGTTTGCTTTATAAACTATGGTCCAAAAATGTTTCCTTACAAAAACTCGGAGTGTTGAAGTTTTAGGAAAAAAATGAAAATTAATTAATATTTTCAGAACCGCTTCAGATATTCCTCTGATATTTAGTACGTAGTGAAAGTTAATAAATTTGCATATTTTTCAATGCAAAAATAATTTTTAGCTTTAACAGTGGCGTGCGTACGGGTGTTGATTTCTATATTTTTTTAAGAAAAAAATGCTACGCCAATGGTTTTTTGCCAATTTTTTGAATTCTCCGTTCAATTTGAAACAAATGATCTCTCTTGAATTGTTTTTCTTCGATGCGCCATTTTTGAGTAAAAAAATAACAACCGTTCTATTGTCTAACTTGCAAAATTATTATTAATTTAATTGGAAAAATTAAACACATTAGGGGTAATGAATAACAACAACTGACAACATAAATATAACATTAAAACCAACGAAATGATTACAACAATTGTTGAAAATTTCTGCATTTGAATAATTCACCATTATTAACAAGTCTATATCCAGCATCGAAAATGGAAGGACCTCTGAAGAAGCTTGCCACTCGTGCTAGCGAAACGTTAGGAAGAAATTCCAACCGACGATGGCCTTTAGACCCGAATCAAGACAGCAGTTTATCAACTGGCCGCGAAAGCCTTAACCAATTGGTCTCTATCAACAAGATTGTAAAAATTAAATAATGAAAAAGCTGTCACAGCGAACAGATTTGAATAACAGAGACTTGTCAGATGTCAAAAACCAGTGACATATTCCAGAGCAACTAGATATTTATTGCTAAATTGCATTCTTCAATTATTACATTAATTTTCGCGGACCATAGAACGGTTTTTATTTTTTTACTCAAAAATGGCGCATCACAGGCAAACAATTCAAGAAAGATCATTTGTTCTAAATTGAACGGGGAATTCAAAAATAATTTTTATTTGGCAAAAAACTATTGGCGTACCATTTTTTCTTAAAAAAATATCGAAGTCGATAGCCGTACGCACGCCACTGTTAAAACTAAAAATTATTTTTGCATTGAAAAATATGCAACTTTATTAACTTTCACTACGTACTAAATATCAGTGAAATACCTGAAACGGTTATGAAAATATTAATTAATTTCCATTTTTTTCCTAAAACACCCTTAAATATTCGCATATCATCAAGGATCACCCTGTATATGATGTTTTGTAATCAATGTACAAATATATTCGTGCAGGAAGATGTCTGACAAAAATGCAGTTCTATGAATTTTATACGCATCGCTGACTTTCCCAAGGATAAATTATTACAAAACGCGCATATAAAGAGAATCAAATTCGTGTAGATTTGTGGAAACTTACATGCATCAAATTCTTAGCAGAGGAGCTGGTACGCCACACAAAGAAGCTATGCCGAATGATGTCAAGTAGTAACTAGGTAATTTAAAGTGCAATTGAGTAAATTGAAATAAGTGCGACGTTAGTTTCGGCTTCAAAGCTCGTTAGCTAGTTGTTGACACTGAACTTGATGGCAAACACACTGTTTTGAACCAAGTTATACAAAGTGATTTTAATGATCATCATTTTCACGTTCGTTTTATAAATGGCGCCGTGAATTCGGACATAGGCGCACCATATAATAAATAAGATCTGAATTTCTAGGTAATTACGGAAATATAGTTAATAACGATTAGTCAATTTTGAAGTGGAATAGGTAATAGGAACTTTCAAAGGTTTCAACGACTCTTTTTCATTTGGAGAGCTCATAACGTAAGTAGGTTCTGAAAGCTTTGGCACAAAATATTTATCGGTTTTTCTTAATGAAGAAATTTATTTGAACACTAACTAGTTATTATGAATTCCAACTCAATACTAAGTAAAATTAACTAAACTATACTATATACAGGGTGTCCCAGAAGTCGACGTCAAGCCGAAACCGTGTGATAGGCAAAGTCATAACAGCTATCAGAAAAATATTTAAAAAAATTTGTATGTGTATGTATGTGTTTTAAAAATTATAGGTCTTTGAAAAAAATATAGAAATTTCACACCCTACGGCAGTCTGTCAACTCCTATTACTACAAATATTAACTTTTTTTGGATTTTATTTTTACAATGTAATGATGAATAATGCATCTTCAAACTGGTGTCTCAACCTTACTGCCAACTTTTCTCGTTCAGGAAAAATTGCCACTTATTTCCCAACCAAGTATTCCAAAGTAAAACTTTGCTCAACTTTAACTGGCTGTACTGGAAAAAAATGTACTACGAGAGTTTGGCAAGTAACCTTAAAAGTTGGCGCATTTAATAAGGATTCCAAAATGGTATAACACTTAGAAGATTACTCGTTAACTTATGCACAATTTTTATTTGAAGAAAAACTGATGAAAATTTTTCAAAATTTCCTAATTAAACAGCGATTATGAAAACGCGCAAGGACCCTTAAGGATAACTGTTTGCACAACAGTGGGCGTCAAAATGCTGCTGATGATGATTTACCTTTACAGCAAATGCTCAAACTGTTTTCCTTCAGCCGCAATACACGCTCGACATCTTCTTAAAAAAGATCGGGTTATTAAACGAGCGAATCCACGGTTATTAACAAACTCAGCTGCTTCCAATAGTCTTTGCCGTAGCTCAGCTACATTTTGTTAAGAATTTTCGGAAAAGGATCCATCGTTATTTTCTTTTCAACCATGAGAAAAATCTTCCTCTTCAGACCTCTGAAATGTCCTTAACCTGCGAACATGACCTGTCTACTAATTAATAAATGTAAATAACCATTACATGTGAAATACATTTGAAGTACCTTCTCGTATATGCATTGTGAATCATGTGTCATCGAGATTAAAATGCATATTCTGAACAAAAAGTTTATTATCAGATAAGGAAATAGACACATTTTACTGCAAACACAAAATCTGTTAGATAAAATCAAACCGACAATACATAATATTTCGAAAAGTAGAAATGACATATAAGCTTTTGTATTCGAATCAAGACAGTCCCATTGAGGATTTCTGTTGTACGATTCCTTCTAATAAACCAGATGATCTTGAATTATATTTCTGATGGTAGGTATATGGAAAGGCCCCAAACAGAAAGATATAATTTTTTTTTATTGAACGTCAAAGTTTTTGAATGAAAATAACATTAATGAGAAAGGCATAAAAACATATAAACGCCTTGAATTTTCAAGAGAATATTAACGTTAATATCGACTTCTCAACAAGTCAAATGTTTTGGAACAAATGATGTGTTAAAAAAATGTCGATCTAATGGAAAAAATCATATTTTTTATTTTTTCAAAAAAATGCAACACTAAATAAGTGCAAAAGAGTTCTACCTCGAAATAAAAATCGACGAGTTCATGTGAAATTTTTTCCAGTGCTTTTATCGACAGAAAGAATTAGTCACACAGAAATGCTGATTTGTAACTAACACGATTATTGTTTGCAAAATATAGCTGCAAAAAGCATATAAATGAGAAACATACCAATTCCACCAATACAAATCCAAGAGTTTATTTCGTCTCTCGCAAAACAGAAAAAACTCGTTGGAACGCTCTTATCAGTAAAGAGAAATAGTCCCACAAAAAATGTTTGACGCTGATTGGTCAACCAATACGATTATCGTCTGCAGAATATTCTAGGGACGCTCTGCTAGGTGTATGGCTTATAGGCGGGTCTTTCGTGGTTTTTTATCTGTCACAGGATATCATTGGTTATTTAGAATTCCCTTTGCTTGCTATCATGTAGGAGACGTTGCGATAGGATTTCCAAAATTGGCTGACCGGGGGATTTTGGTACTTGTCGCGACAGTAGATTATCAATTAGTATGTGTACAAATGTTTTCTTCTTTCTGTATTGTGGTTCATACGTAATGCTGAGAGACTGAACATACATTCACATTCGTATACGAGGGATGTCTTTTAAGGTTTGCATATGGAAATAAAACAACACGGTAGGTAGTTTTAAATGACTTTATTGTTTTTCGAAGTATTCTCCACCAAGACTAATACACATCTGCATTCCACTTGTTTGCTGGCAGATCTGGCGGCTGGAACCTTCGACCACGCAATCTGTTTTTAATTTTCGGGAAAGTAAAGAAATCTTTAGGACTTAGATCGGGACTATATGGAGGATGGTCCAATAATTCCACGTTTTCTTCCGTGAAATTCTGCCTTGTTTTTTGAGCTGTGTGCGAGCTTGCATTGTCTTGGTGGAGGATGATTCCTCTTTCGGGGTTGATTTTTCGAAGCTCGGTGATGACTTTTGGCAAACAAATGGTGGTATACCAATCCGCAGTAACAGATCTTTGCTCATTAAGGGAAATTGTTGCAATATGACCCGCTTTTGACACAAATGTCGCGACCATCTTTTTCGAAACACTTCGAGAACGGATGACTTTTGTTGGCTTTTCTTCACCTTGGAAAGACTGATGTGGCGCTTCGTTACCGAAAACAGACAGTAACTCAGTAAGGCATTCTTGTTGCGATAATTGTCTCTGAAAGTTGTAATAAATTATGGCGCAAAAATGTTCTCGGTTGAGTTCCATTTTTCTAATGACTTGGTGACACTTAAAAATTCACTGTAGTGAGAACACTGCACGTATTGTTGTGAAACTTTGAATTTAAGTTTACTGAAGAGTGAGGTTAAGATTCAGTACTGACGTTCGATCCGCGCGGCCTACTATGTTTCTATATGCAAAACTTAAAAGAACATCCCTCGTATACTGTGTACGCTCAAAATAGAACCATTATTTGGGCGTAGAGAATGAACTAACGCATATTTTCAATATGAATTTCAATTCCAGGAACGATGTAGGTAACAGGTTGGCAACGCGTCAAAGAGTCGCGTCAGCATTGCTAGGGAACGCGGTGATGAGCTTTGCTATCCAGCTGGCATCTATCTCTGTCTGACATATGTGTCTAGACACACTTCTCTCTCGTACACATTGAACTCAATCCGTCAGACAAACAGCAAAAGTTAAACGGGAAACGTTTTAGATAAAACGTAGTCCTTCCGAAGTGCATAAAAGGTTGGGGTACCACCGGAATATCATCACACGATGTTATGTATTAGTTTTTTTCTAAGGAGGCCATGATTTATTTGTCAGAAAATGACATTAATGAGTAAGGCATAAAAAACACATAAACGCAGTCCTGCCAATAAGGACGGCAAATCATAACAGGTTGTCAAGTAAATTATGGTTGTGTTGTAAAGTAACCTGTATTTTTATGTTGTATCATCCAGAACAAAAACAAAACATTAGCATTATCTATATGTTATTGTCAACAAGCAGGTACGTATGCATTATCAAAATCATTATCTATATGCAGTTTCTTAGATTGTGATTTTTATAGTATACTCAAGTGTGAATTGTGTGAAGTAAAAAAAATATATCAAATAATAAGTTTAATGTATCGTTTAAAAGTTTCCGGGCATTTGACGATTGATAGAACTGATGAAAAAAGAAATGGAAGGAGAGTCATACAGAGGAAAAATATATTACATTGCCCCTTGGGGTAAAATGTACCACAAAAACTGACAGGAAAGGGCACAAGCCTAATTTACACGTCTTTTGATGAAGGGATCCTTTTTCCACCAATAATTCACTTGTTAGAAACAATTCTTACACAACTTGAATGAGTGTCTGATTGTTGTGTTGATCGTATAAAATGAATAAGCACTGGTCCTAGGTCCTAGTTCTTCTACACGGATGAATCTCTTGCTGGATCTTAAAACATTTTTCGCAACATGCGCCATCTAACTAGTCAGGTATAACTGGAAACTGTCGAGTCTTCGAGAGGAGGGGGAAATTCCATCTGTGTCCGCTCCTGTCCACAACGGGACCTCCCGAAAAAATCTCTTGTATCGCTGCTGGCCGGATGTAGATGTCGCAAGTTTCCGATTCTAAATGTTTCGATTGGAAAAAGGGGCGTCTTAGTCACGAGAAAAAGTAGACGTGGTTAAATTATATAAATATGCTGTAAAGGGGTGTGGCTTAAAGTTTGACAGGTAGAAAAGTAGGCGTTATTCTTTAAGCCGCTCCTTTTTTCCTAGCTGAGATGTTTGAATATACTTCCTTAATTATGTCAACGTCAAATTTCTTAAACGTCACCCAAAAGTGGACAAAAATTTGGAAAGTTTTGAAAATTGTATTACAAATAGCCCTTTCAAAGAATTTAATAATTTAGAAACAAACAACAGCAAAGCAGAAATGGTAGGTTAATTACCACAGTAGTGGTTCACAAAATGAACTGTTTGTAATCAAAGAAAATTTGTTTCAGTCCAACGAGGTGGAGGAAACGATGAAGCGGATTCAGTCCCACAAAGGAGTCGTCGGCGCGATTGTCGTCAATTCAGAAGGTAGTTATCCTGATGAACACAAACTGTAATTAGGAGTTACTAGAACTCTGCCTTCAGAAATCTAAGGCAACATGCCCAAGTGATATCCACCAAATCAAAAAGTGTACATCTCCCTTTCTTATACGCCTACCTATTTTTCACTTGAATAAGTTGACAAGCATTTCTAAGCTTATTCATTTCTTGGAATTTGACAGTTAAAGATGTACCAGGAAGTGTCTAGAGTTGATGTACAAAACAATTTGTGAAAGTACATTGTAACAGCTTCATATTAGTTCTCCATGGCTGCAATAGTGGACAAAACTGTAGATGTCATGGATCCATGTTTGTATGTCAAATTTAAAATCGACATACTCAATTTACCTTTAGATATGAGGCTTTATTGAAAATGTTCTTATAAAACCAATATTTTCAATTGAAATAAACTGCCTAAATAATTTTCGGCAGTAAATGTGAATATGATTGTTGGAACAAAATTTCAGGTAGAAAACAAGTCAATTGGAATGTGGGTCCTAGCATCTAATTTGAGATTCTACACTCAGAATTTTATTAGGAGTCTCAATAAATTTACTTCTTTATTTTCCATAGCTACAAAAGAATAAAACAGTACAGATAGGTTATTTAGAGCACTGAATTCTAAATTGAGTAATTCTAAAATGTCAGACTGAACTTACGATGGAAGTATGAAATATTGTGTTTATTCTGCCATTTACCACTTTGTTTTTGGTATTTATTGGATTTTTTCCAGGAATTGCTTTAATTAGTTTTTTTCCAGGCATTCCTATTAAAACAACACTGGACAACACCACAACAGTGCAGTATGCTGGGCTGATAAGCTCTCTTGCAGATAAGGCTCGCAGTGTGGTTAGAGATCTAGATCCTTCCAATGATCTGACTTTTCTCCGTATCCGATCGAAAAAGCACGAGATCATGGTAGCGCCTGATAGAGAGTTCATTCTGATTGTTGTGCAAAATCCTATGGATTAGATTGGACCATATATGTGTAAAATGCAAATTGTTTGGAATTGTCAATCTGCAGTTTTCAAACTTCCAAAATCTGTTACATTAATTTTATTTTATTATATATACTACAGTGCTGAAATCTTAAATCTGCTCATTGTGGAGTTATTTTGATTCGGCGCTATTTTGAAAATCTGGGTATTGAGACTGGTTTAATTGAAATTTATTCAAGAATGTTATTTGAGTCTGGAAACTACAGAAAGTGACTGCAAAAATACTTGTTCTTAAATACACTGGATTGTAAACACTTGTAATAATGAACACACTGTCAGGTTCAAGGAATGACAATGCTTCAGCAGTTTATGTCACTGACATTTAACTACTTCAAGAGCTGTTGTTCCTCGAATGCACCCATTAACTAGTTACTTGATATTTCCCAATGGCATGACCTAGGATATTGATTTTCACTTGTGATGGTTTATATTCTAATTTTTATTTATTGTTGCACTACTTTTTTATTTTGTACTAGAATGCTTGATAATAAATATTCAATATATTTTATCTACTTGTTTCATTTCACATCTTGCACTTTATTGAACAACATGGCAAAGGAAACTGTCAGAACAGTAGTGAGAATCATTTAATCAAATCCAAGCGAATAACCAAAATTTCTGTGTTATGTGCCGCGGTTATAATATGGTTCAAGATGACACACGGGTTGATGACGTCAGTTACACGAATCGCTTGAACGCGTTGGTTTTAACCGCGGTTTGTTGCAAGTTGTTTATTTTAGAAAAGCGCGTATATAATCTCTGATTATTTTTATTATCACTTAATAATCGGTGCTTTTTCGTCTACAACTGTGTATGGAAAGTTTAAATAAGAAACCTTTCATAATATTCATGGGAGAAATGTTTTTTTCAGATTTTTTTTTAATGATGGAACCATTTCTTTGTAGCTATGATAACTTTCAATTCTCTAAATTTTTCCGCATGTCAAAGAAAACATTTATTGATTCAGCAGAAATGGTGACAAAAGAAATTAGCAAAACCGTATACAGGTAGATATCATCTAGTGAGTTTATATGGCCATATTTTAATATTCTGGTGGTATATGGCTACACAGAATACTTTGTTAAGCATAGGAACTACATTTAAAGTGTCCCCAACAACCGTAATGAGTATAACTAATAAGGTGCTCCACTTTATGGTAAAACTGAAGTCAGCCTGTATCAATTTTCTCAAAAATGAAGCTGAAGTACAATAACAATATCGAATACCCGCCAAAATTCTAACTTGTCATATTTCAAATAATAACCAGAAATATAAAACTACTCTTCAGTTGGGTAAATACCACAATTTTGCGGTGATAACTATGACATATAACAGCTGATTCGTGACGTCACGGTTCTTATAACCAAACTGATAACTACACTCGCTTGAACGAATCGGTAAATACCAACCCAAAATGGTAAATACCATTTCCATTTGGTTATCCGCTTGAATTTGGTTATTGTCAGTGAAACGCAGTATGTATATCACATAAGATGTTGTAAAGTACTGTAAGCTGTTCGTTTGGCCTGTTTCATTTGCGAGAATATACAGTAATGGACAAAAGTATATAGACAAATTAATATTGTGCTATTTTTTTTAACTTGTTTTATTAATACACCAACCTGTATACATAATTCGTTATGGCATAATACTCATACGTAAATAAATTTATTAGACTACCTTCAGTAAAAAATTAATTGTTAAAAACTGGAACTATGAAGGACAAAAATATATAGACAAAGCAAAACAATTATAGAAAAAAGAAGCAAAGTTCATTGAATTATAGAAAACCAACCAGGTTTGTGTTAATATTTTGTAGCATAACTATTATTATCAATCACCGCCTGGCATCGGCTCAGCATAGATTGTAGAATTTCTTGATATAAGATTCATCAATCTGTCTCCACTTTTGCTCTAAAGCGGCAAAAAGTTCATCCTTGTTTGAATAATTTTGATCTCGCATTTGCTTATCTAAGTACTCCCATAGATTTTCAGGGAGACTGTGAAGGCCATCTGAGAACTTGTATTTTTTCATCCAGTAAGAATTTCTTTGCGAGATTTGAAGTGTGTTTCGGGTCATTATCTTGCTGGAAGATTGATCTTAAGGGCATATTGTCTTCCGTATAGGGTAACATGACATGCTTTAGTATGTCTGTGTATACAAATACAAACACAGATACAAACGTATCCCGTATCCCTAATGCCATCTATTCTATAATAGCGAATAACCAAAATTTCTGTATTAAGTACCGCGGTTATAATATGGTTTAAGATGACACACGGGTTGATGACGTCACTTACTCGAATCGCTTGAACGCCTTGGTTTTCGACCGCGATTTTGTTGCAAGTTGTTTATTTCAGAAAAGCGCGTATATAATTTCTGATTATTGTTATTATCATTTAATAATCGGTGATTTTTCGTCTAGAACAGTGTACGGAAAGATTATAAAAGAAAGCTTTCATTTGTTAATGTTTCAGGTTTTGTTAGCTGGTTAGGTATGACTCACTCTTCCAGCGTTGCCAACTTAGCGGAATTTCCGCTAGATTTAGCGGATTTTGTTCCATGTTTAGCGGACAAAATCTGCAATTGCAGATAGCGGATTTTTTAACGGAATAAGCAATTTTGTTTAACGGATTTTATCGATTATTAAACTGAGAATAAAATCAATTTAAACAGGAAATATTTTTCATACGTGAATGTAATTAATGCAAATAGTAATTATTAATAACTTATATTTATGGCGCCCTGGACCTCATAATATTTTTGGCAACAATGCCATAAAAAGAAGAAGCAACCATCCATTCCAAGGAATCGGGTAATTACCCACATGCGGTTGTGCCCGTCTATTTTCTAGCTGTGTTTTACCAATAAAGGGTGCTTCTTTTGCAAATAATTTTTTTTAGAGGATTCGTATCGGATGTTGAGCACTTATTTGGCGGGAAACTATTCTAAAGAGTTGGCAACGCTGCTCTATTCCATAAAAGCGTTGTTTTAATTGATATAGAATTTTGCAAAGGTGTTATGTACTGCTTATTTCAAATTTTGTAGACATATTTTTTTGTTGATAATTTATTCCGTAAACAAAATATTCCATATATTAGTAACGAAAACCAGAAGTTTCTAATAAAAGTACATGTGAGAAAAGACATTTTCTTGAAATTTGAATTTTGTAACATAACACCTACATCCACTCGTGTCTTCAATTATAACCGTCCATGAGACGATTATCAAACTGATTATACCATTCTGCAAAAATGTGCACGTTTCAGAGACGCCAAATTATGCTGGAATTGGAGGAAGTTAGGGGTGAAATAAAAAACAATGTTCTAATATATAAATAATACTTTAATCTGTATAAAAATATAATCTGTACATACGCTTAATGCACTCTGATGAAATCATATAAATATATACATAACGATCGGTCAAATATATTATTCTTCTTTCTATATTCCTCTGATTTAAATCTATATAAAAAAGTTACACTTACATCTATGACTAGCTGATTGTACAGCATGAAATGTTGCAAAATGAGGTAGATTAGTTCAATATTATTTGTCACTGTCATTTTTGGCGGATTGTTATGTGTAATTCCTGCTCGACAAATTTGGTGAAAAAATCTTTGGCCCATAGGACTCGACAATCAAGTATAAAAGAATCTAACCAAATTCATGTCAAAGCATGCAGGGTGTAAATAACAAACTTTTTGTATGAGCGTTTAGAAAAAAGTTATATGCAAAAATTATAGGGCACAATACAAAGTTTTTTGCAACGGTATTTTTAAAATATAAGATTATGTTTTTCAAATATATTTATATAGGCTGTCCCATCCGTGCAAGGACCTAAACAAAAACAATTCAAAGAAAACTATTAATGGATTATGATATAATATGGATGCACTATTATACAGGATGTCCCAATTTTGACCTACATATCAAAGTTGATTTTTTTAAATGGTCCCTACTTTTTGTTACACATATCGATACACACTTTTAAAAGAACAATATTGATATATCATACTTGTGAGTTTTAGTTATTAGTTGAATTAATGGGTATTTTATATACGAAAATCTCAAAGTTTTGACAGCGTGCATATCTGCTATGTTGATAGGGAGAGCCGTGAAGTTGGTGTAAATTTTATTTATTATTCCCTATTTTAGCCCAGTTTTTTTAATGATCAATACAAACGCAAAAAAAATAAATGGAACATCCTGCATATTTTTGCATTATCGGATCTCCATTTTCATGAGCATGCCACAAAAAAGTTGCATGAAGAACTTCATATTGGACCTTTTGCATAAAAGTTTTTTTCTCAACAATCATATAAAAAAGTTCTAGCGGGGAACTTCAGATAGCTGGACATCAAGGTTTCGTCTCTAGCGAGTCAAAACGCCACTTTGATCAGGCTTATAGCATATTTTATGTATGTACCTGCTAGGAATGTTTTTGATAGAAATTACACATGGTAAGTAGATGGATGGAAAATAAAATATTACAAATACAGAATTATGAATGCAGAGTGACCAAAACTCACCTTTCTAGTGGGATTCCCTTTCAGAAGTACTGTAAGTTATTAAAAAAAAATCTGAAATTAGATGCACGTGGAAAAAATAACATATCGTTCAAAATACATGTCTTTATGGAGAAAACGTGATTTATATTTTTTTCTGATAGGTCACCCTACTTTTTGTGTATTTTCAGTGGAGTATGAACTGCACAAATGGTTTTTTGTCCGTTCAGCAGTCGCGTTAACGTTTCTCCCAAGTCAGTCAACGGATTTCACGTTTCTCTACGCCTAAGAAAAATAATAATTATCATCACAATTTGCCACCGTTGACCGAAGAAGAAACATTCACACACTACAATACCGACGTCTACAAAGTTAATATATTAATTTTAACATAAAAAATAAATAGCGCCTCAAAATTATCGACTTCAAACGTCATCGCACAAGAACACCTCATAGAGACGTAAAAAAGCTTGAAGGTGAAAAGAAATGTGCCTATTCTCTTAACATTCCAACGACTCAAAAGTGAGTAAATCTGACAAGACTTTTATCATTCAAATAATTTTGAGACGCCTTGTACATAAATATACACTTTACTGTTTAACAAACAATATACGTTTTTAGCACCAACATTTTTTTGTTGCTTTAGCGCTAGCCTTGCGTTTTTACTTACTATTATTACGTATTTTCGGATCTTGCAGATCAAATACTTTTTTTTTGTCGATATGATCTCCTTAGAATTTTTCATTGCTTTCATTTTCTCGTTTCTTCAAACACTTACATTGACTTACGACTTACGCGCTAAATACACATTTTTATAAACTATATACGTAAATACATTTTCAACTGTATATGATTGTATAAAAAATATACATTCTGATCTTTTAGATCATTCTTACAATCATTGCAACATATCAATACGAGGTGTGAAAAAATATTAACAAAATATTTTTTATACCTTGTATAAGCCTGTTTGTACTACATAAAATTATTATATTATATATAATACTATCAACATATGTATGTTATACGTGTAATGAGGTAGTTTTTTTTTTGTTTTTACAACAAAAACAAAATTAGTACGTTACTTGGTAACGGACAATAGAAACTTTTTAAGGTGGCGAGTACCAACAAGAAAATCTAAAAACCAAGTTTGCTGCTGAAAATATGCCAGAAAAAATAGTTTCTTCAGCTTGTTGTTTTAGCAAAATGATGACTAAATTTAAAACATGCTGTGGCATTAACGTTTTATCTTTGTTTTTGTTTATCTTTATTAACAAAATGCCTCGGGTCCGAAAACGTCCAAACCATCACCATGTTAACAACTTTGACAGGGGTAGAATTATTGTCTATCGAGATGTTGGTTTGTCCCATCGCGAAATTGGTCGCCGTGTTAATTGTACTTCAATCACGGTAATGCGGGTGAGTCGTGTGAACTAGCCCTACCAGACCGTTTTGCCACAGATCGCTGACCAATAGTTTGGAGAGGAACGTAGACCTGTTATGCGTACACTCTACCGTCGCATTCGAGTCTTTGGACTTTTTTCATACTATCCACGGTTAGTGCTTCCTCTGACTGCGGACCACTGTCGACGACGTTGGAATTGGAGCAGAGAAACGGCAATATTGGGAGGCAGAATAGCTTAATGTCATCTTCAGCGACGAGTCGCGATTCTGTCTAGGTACGCACGATGGTCGTAGAAGGGCAATATTGCTCGTCGTACTATGGAGTTCCTTCAAGAACCAGGCGCTAATGTTTTGCCGGATTTAAACCCCATCGAACATGTGCGGAGGGGGAGGAGACTAACCACTTTGCACCATCCGCCACACACTCTGCCACAGCTAATCCACGAAGTTCGAGTTACTTGGAATGAGGTTCCACAACCAAACATCTATCACCTCATTTTGTCGATGCCTAGACGTATACAGGAGTGTATTCAGCTGCGGGGTTGTCCAACACATTATTAATTTTTTGTCTGATTACTTGTCAATAAAATTTGGTGAGAATGTTATCGTTTCATTCTTAATGTAAGACTACCTCATTGCCAAAAAATCAAGTTAAAGAAATTATTTTTTCTGGGTCCAATACTTCCAATATATGAAATTCTAGGTGGAATTGGTTCCATATAGGAATGTAATACGACTCTGTAGCCTAGGACATGCAAACCCATTACCGATATTTCATTATTTATACGTTATAGATTAATTTTGAGAAACGATCGACAAAAAATCATATAAGTCGTATCTGAATTTCGAAATTTCCGAACGATACAATACAACCCGCGCCACATTGAATGTCTTTCCGCTGTCATTTGTTCATTGCAATTTGCGTGAGTCAACTCATAATAAAAAGTCACCATTTAAATTGTAGTTGTTGTTGTCTTACCTGCCTACACAGAAGTAACTGAACTGGACTTTTCAAACACATAACAGAGGCAATGTTTAATTGTTTAGAGCTATGTCGTTTAAAAAGGTATCAACCACAACTGCACAAAATATAAACGTTTGTACCTTATTTTGCTTTTTAAAAAGAGCATTTGGTAATTGCTGCCATCAACTGTCAACTGTTTTAAGCATTGTCAAAAGTAGTTAAAGAATTGATTAAATAAACCGATAAATATTGGTTTTTATCGAAAAGGAAACGCTAATTTTTCATTAACACCTCAAGATTCGTATGTAGAGGTCCTAAGGTCGCTGATTTCATTCATTTCCAGCAGCATACTGTTAAAATTTTGAATTTTCTTGTTAGGTGTTTGCCCCTCTTTTAATGTAAAATATCTGATGTAAGAATATTAGATGCTGTTTATATTTAAAGGTGAACACATAAAACGGAGAGAATGTTGCGTAAATTAATTGAAAAAAAAAGAAAAATAGCACAACTTTACGCAGTTGCATAGCAGAACGCAGAAAACAAGGGGCTCGTTCTTTTACAAGGCACTTTTCAACCGTAGCGTTTGATCACAGATAATGCTGCATCCATGGAAACAGGATCCAAATCACTTGTCAACCTATGTCAATCAGCGTCAACAAAACTTCTAAAAATAAAGGCTCATGATCCTTGTGAAGGTGACATTTAGAAAATGACAAAAAAACAAGAAAACCAGTGTGTTCGAGAAATAGACAAAGGTATTTAAGACGGTGATTCCTTGTTAAAAAATATGAAAAAAAGTTTCCATAAACATGAGTCGGAGATGTGGAGTTTTTAAGAAACAGGGTGATAAATTTAAAAAATCTTAAAAAATATTTATTCGATTCTGTTGAAATTTGGCAATATTATTTTTTGTATTAAGAGGCTAATCGAGCCCTAAATAGATTAAAATTATTATTGTGACTTTTTAGTAAAAATAAATAAACCAATTTTGTCCAGTGACAGGCAATAAAACGGTTTTTATTTTTTTTTTCTCGAAGACAACGTGAGATACGAAAAAAATACAAAAGGCAAAGAAGTTCTATTTTTAGATGAATAATCAAACAACAAATATTAAAGTTACAAAAAATGCAATGACGTACATTTTTTTGCCAATAATATTCGCTAAGGTGCCCCCGGGACGCTACTGGACCTAATAATTTTTATCTATTTTGGGCTAAATTAGCATATTAATACAAAAAATAATATTGCCAAATTTCAACAGAATCGAGCAAATATTCTTTATATTATTTGTTTTTAAATTTATCTTAAAAACCATGGTACGGTATGTCAATAGAAACTTTTTTCATATTTTTCAACAAGGAATCACCCTCTAAAACATCTCCGTCTATTTTTTGAACGCCCTGTATAAAGTATACATGGTAACTAACTGCATATGTTGCACCTATAAGACCACATCAATAAAAGTAATTCGGATAAATATTTTGAAACGCATTGTGACAGAAAGTAGCTATAGGGTGAGTTTTTAAATTCACTATTGTGATACATCCAGTGATGAGAACATCTAGGTGGTCGTACAGCCGAGAAACATCCTGATTTGATCAGACTGATTTCTAAGAAAATCCGTTAATCGTGCAGTTTATGTATCTAGGCGTAAAGTCGGCTCAAGATACCACGGGACATAAACATTTATTAAGCCTGAGGTATATACAAATTTTAACCCCAGTGAGCTACAAAATAAGGGCACAATTTAAAGTAACCTACAAGTGGACATGTTTAATGGATGCAGCATTAGATGAGACAATAAATGTTTTTAACAGTCGATGATGAAGCGACTCGAATATCTTACTAGAAAAAGAGTACTCAACAGACAAAAGTTCAATTGTGTTAATTTTCTGAAGAAAGGAACTGAAATTCTTTAAAAGAGAAAGGTGCTTAACTTGTTACAGAGTTATTCAGTTAGACTCGAATTCAAGATAGTTTGGCATTTGTTTTTTTTATATACAGGGTGTTCCAAAAATACCTGAAAAAATGTGTTTTAAAAAGAAATCTTTTGCATAGAGGTAAATCATAATAAAAAACGCACCTTTATATTTCTTTACTGTAACATTTTCTCTCGATTGAACTCCCACTCTGCTGGCACAAATCGAAACTTTTTCCTCACGTCGGCGGTGCGGGGGGTTGCTGATGCCTCGACGACCTCCCAGAAGACGAGGGAGGCTGTTGCTGTTGAGAATGCTGAAAGGTTTGCTTGAATCCGGGCAACGGCATGTTCTTCTCCTGGGTCGGCTCCAACAGTCTCCGGAACAACTGCGGGCTGTCCAACAGCACTTCCCCGGCATGAGGGGGAAACGTTGACGGTCCTGGTTCTTCTTCCGCCTCGCCTACAGCAGCGACAGCAGGCGCGATCTCTTCTGGGATACTGGAGGGACCTACGATCTCTTCCAAGACGCCTTCGCCCAGGTCTTTGAGTTCTTCGAGCGGTTGAGAGGTGGAGGGGAGGAAAATGCTGCCTGCGCTTGTGTCGCCGCTGCTCTCGCCACCCTCGGTACCACCTGTAAGAACAAATGGCGTCAAGTAGGGTCACTCTGCAATTGGTCCCGGCACAAATTAGTCCATCTTAAAAAATAACGACGAATCGTAGAAATAAATAAACATTGGATTATTCCAAAGGGTTTTTTATGGGATGAGCACTTTGACGCTTGGCTTCGGGATTGTATTCAAAACACCACGTTGATCACGCTACACCACAATGTCGTACAGAAGGTTTTTGTCTTTTTTGGCCTCTTCTTGGTCAAAATGTGACGGATTGAATGTTTGGAGATATTTAATTCCATTACTATGTGTCTTAATGGAGATTTTGTATCATTTTTGATAAATTTACACACTTTTTCGACGGTTTCTGGCGACGTCACAATTATTGGCTCACGAACCGCTTTGAACCGTGTAAACCACTCGTGAACTCGGCTACGAGATAAACAATCATCACCATAAACTTGCATCAACATCTGATGCGTTTCGGTAAATATTTTAACCTTGACACCTTGTTCGATGTTTATTTTTTGACCGATGCTAAAAAGTTAACGTCACTTTGAGCGCGATAGCTCCGCGTGAACTGGTTCGACTGCCATGAAATTTTGACAGGGCGTCAATGAAAGATGTACCTATCCAACGCTGGCGTTACTTGTATTGGACATCTTGCAGACCTTGTAAAAAAACTAAAATTGCACAATTTTGATTTTGTGTGAAGTGCGAGCCTCATACTTGTACTCTCGAGTGTGTAATCTTGACTACAACGTTCCTGCGACTGTTGTTTTGGTTGTCAAAGTCCCTGTAAAACGCTATCTACCTTACATACCTAAAAAAGCCGGAAAATCCTCATCGAATATCTTCAGACCAAACTCCTCTACCAACGTATGATGATACTGTTGCAGCATCGTCTCAGGAGGTATAGCATGTACCAGTTCTGCTTTAGCTCCTCCCGCAGTTCCTTGTTGTTGTAGCTGTTCCGCGCTTTCCACTTTCACTTGAGGCGATTCTATGGAGGCTGTGGAAGTGCTCGTAGATGTCTCCTCTTTCTGCTGTTTGTGATGCGACTTCTTGATGTGGCGCACCAGGTGATCCTTGCGGCCGAAACGTTGCGGACAGAACTGGCATAGGAAGTCGCGCATGCCTGCAACGACAAAAAAAGGGCGTCAGGTAGACTGATTATGTACCTCTCACGCAATTCGCCACAAAACTAAAATTGAGCTGGACGAGAGATGGGTCCACCGCTAAGCGCCAGAAACAAAAACAGCAATCGAAGCAGTGGGTGGAAGCCGGTGATTCAGCGCCGAAATAAAAGTCGATCATCTGACGGAAAGGTCGTCAGCATATTTTAGGACGTATTTTTTTTTACTAATCATCTTGAAAATTCAGAACAATTATTATTATGAGCAAATACTATTTCAACCTCCTTAATCAACTGAATGCAAAAATTCGTGAGAAAAGCCCCAGGTTGACAGAGAAAAATATAAAAGGTGTGTTAATAGGAAAACTTCATGATTTCGGATATGAATTGCTCAACCATCCTCCTTATTCTCTTGTTTTGGCACCCTTGGACTTGGAGAAATTTGTTTCTGGAAAACGCTGAGAGGACCGTAGATGTATATTTTGAAAAAACGATTAAATCTTTGTTTGAGTCGATAGAACGGTCGATATAATTTAATGTTTAAAGATTATTTCATGTAAATGTTGGCCGCGGCTCCGCTTTAGATGGCCCATGCGCAAGGTCCAATTTTGGCACACTCTCTCCAACATATCGGCCGGTATCTCACGAATAAATGCTTCAATATTGGCTTCCAGTGCGTCAATCGCTGCTGGTTTATCCCTGTAGACATTAGCCTTAACATGGCCCCACAAGAAATAGTCCAACGGCGATCTAGGCGGCCAATTGACGGGCCCCAAACGTGAGATAAACTGTTCACCGAACTCGCCTCTCAATAGGGCCATTGTTTCGTGTGCGGTGTGGCATGTGGCACCGTCTTGTTGAAACCACATGTCAGCCAAGTCCAGCTCTTCCGTTTTGGGCAAAAAAAAGTTTGTTATCATCGCACGGTAGCACTCGCCATTCACAGTTACGTTCCGGCCATTGTCGTCTTTGAAGAAGTACGGCCCGATGATGCCACCGGCCCATAATTTTTCGATAAAAATGTGGATCTTCCTCCAACTTTGCCAGCGCCCATTCACCAAATTGGAAACGTTGTGGAAGGTCGTGTGGCTTCAATTCTTGCACCAGCTGTATCTTATAAGGTTTTACACCCAAATCCTGTCGCAAAATTTTCCACGTAGTGGAGTACCAGAGGCCCAATTGCTGCGAACGGCGGCGAATCGACATTTCACGGTCATCACTAACACTGGCGGATACAGCCGCAACATTTTTTTCAGTCCTCACTCTACGGCTGCGTGTTGGTGGTTTAATGTCCAATAATGTAAACTGGGTTCGAAATTTAGTCACAAGCTTCCGAATAGCTCCCTCAGTAGGCCGATCAAATTGCCCATAAATTGGAAGCAGTGCTCGATGCACTCTCTTAACCGAGCATGAATTTTGATAGTAAAATTCAATAATTTGCAAGCGTTGTTCGTTCGTAAGTCGATTCATGGTTAAATTATAGACCAAACTGAACAAGTTTGACAATGACACAAGACACGATTCACGCGTCATCTGTCAAAAACAGTGTTGCCAAAAAGATACTAGCAAAAAAATCACCCATTATATACAATATTGTATCTCACCTGTATGTACCACAAGATGCCGACGCACATCCTTCTTCGTGAAAAACTTCCTGTCACAATAATCGCAAGTGAACTTTTTCTCCGCCGGATTTTTAACGGTGCGACTGCCCGCGTGAATCTTCAAATGATAGAGGATCTCTTCTTTGGTGGTGAAGGAGGATTCGAAGCAAATCTGACATGTGAGGTTGCCGGATTCGGCAGCGTGGACAGCCAAGTGCTTACGATACGAAAGGTAGGACGTGTACTGCTTCTTACATCCCTCCTACAAAATAAATCAGAGAAATAATGATTAGTTAACGTGGGCATCCAGAGATAAAACGTATTTCTAATAGCTAATCGTACCAGACATACAACACGCCGGTTTCGTAATAACAAATTTTGGCTGGCCAACATGTTCGTCGTCTGCCAGCGACTCACAGTGTAAACCACTCGTGGTAAATGTTTTACCAAGTTTAACACAGAATTTAATATTGCACGCGATAACTCCGCGTGAAGTGGTTCGATAGTCAAATTTTCACAGTGCACCAACGAAGGATCTACCTATCCAACGCTAATAGATGCCGCTACTTGTATCGCATACCTTTCAAAAGTCCTTTTTGCTTTGTGACATACCTTGTAGAGCCAATAACCGATAAAACAGTGATGATGTATACCTGATTGCAGACATACGTTTCCTTCTGCGGGCTGTGCACCTTAACGTGGTTCTTGAGATGGTCCTTTCTGTGGAAAGTCCTGTCGCAAACGGAACAGCTGAATGGCCTTCGATCTGAATGAATAAGGGCGTGTCGGACCAGCTTAAATTTCGACGTGAAGATTTTCTTACACTGCTCACATTTGAATGGACATGATCCTACAAACGGAAATCATATGGTGAAGCTTCTGATGCAAAATTCTTAAAAATACTTCCTAATTTGAAACTTCTTTGTAAATGCATGGACAATATGAAAAATGGAATAAGGATAGTCTTATAGATTATTCATCAGTTCTTCAAGTTGACTGAAAAATTGATTATTATTGTTTGGTGCTTAAATAAATCCGCATTACTTGTATCGACAAAGAAAATCTTGAAATTATGCCTATTCTTCACGGAATTAACCTAAATCAGGGAGTCAGTTAGTGCAACCTGTCAGATTTTAAGACCACTTTCAATGGAATCAAAGGAAGGATAAAAGGGTGAAGGAAGGAAAACAACACAGGATCAGAGTAAAGGAAAACCATTCAAACATTTCCTTTGTACCTGAATGTGTCTGCTGATGCCTTGTGAGCCTATCCTGCGATGAGAACGACCGGTGACAGTTATGACATACGTACGGCCACTGCGATGTGCCTTGATATCTGTGTTTATGGTGGCGCCCTCTACCACCGACACCGGACTTTTGCTGCTGCTGTAGCCCTGAGGGCCCCGGTTGGTCCACACTGGCGCTCGTGCTCGGACGCGCGCTCGTGGTCGTTTCCACCTGTTGATGCGCGGAGCCGGTAGATGGCGATGTGCATGTTGCTGTTACCGCCCCCGGCGGTGACAGATAGAACTTCGACTGCTGAAAGTAGTCCTCGATAGTGCGAGGCTGTTGCTCCCCCTAAGGAAGGAACATCGTTGAAACAAAATGGAAAATACGTTTGGTGTTCCACAAGGCAGTGTGCTGGGACCACTTCTTTTTATTCTATATATAAACGATTTAACTGCAATAGTAAAAAAAAACAAAATTCAAACTTTCGCCTATGACACTTTCTAACAGACAGACATGTTATATATAACACTGCAATACTTTTAATACCACAACTTTTACATAGACAAACTCTTCATATATATTTTTTTGACATTTTCCTCTATCATCTTACCAGTTGCAATGTTGGATCCTGTTGAATGGCACCAAATGCAATCGGTTTCCCTGACGTCGACACGTGGGGACCCACGGGCGACGGCAGGATGCCTCCAAACACCGGCTTGGCCGCGATAGGCGGAGACAACGCCAGCGAATGGACAGGAGGCGTGGCCAACGATGCCAGGTGGGCGGTGGCAGCGGCCGGCGAGGCAGGAGGCTCCTCTTTTACTACCGATGCTGCTGAAGGGGGCGCCACCGAGGACCCCGACGCACCCCCAGTCCCCCCTTCTCTTTCACCTGCTTCGGATGCGGGGCGGCGGCATTTGTCGCCAGGCGTTCCCATGCCGATGCCAACAACAAAGACATCATCTAGAACAAACAAAAATTGCCATTTACATCTGACAAAAGCTATATTCTCTTTACTTGATCAAGCCGACGGCAATGAAAGATTTGTATTGTGATGAATCTGGTTCACAGAATAAGAACCTGTCAATTATAACAAAAATATAGCCTTTCTTTGGTCGTGCCAAGATTTTTATTCTGAAAATCTGGATATTTGTTTTGCACAGCTTAGCATGATATTTCTGCAAATATGTCTTTTTCTTACATTAATTTCATTTCTATATTGTGTGGCTCTCAATGCTATCCCGGAGTATGCCTTCCCTGACACCTACAATGCTTGGAAATCGCACTGGCAGCACTGCATCGACGCAGATTTTTTTTAATCGACTCAGTCCTATTACTTTCCGGACAAACCCTGTACATTGTTACATTAAGTAGAATTCCAATAATTTGGCAATCTCACAGCACTACATGCAAATAGGTCAGAAATGTCAAAAAGTATAGCCAGGCAGAAAAATGTTGCATTTTTAGAAACGCCATCCATCATAAAGACACAAGGCAAGACAGACTTAAGGCTTTTTAATTGCTCAATTCCAACATCACCATTCAACCAATTCAATAGATGCATAGTTTATATGTTCTAGTATTGCCATGGTTGAGTATTGTGACAAGCAAGATTCTTAACATTCCTAAATAATATTTTCAAATTTTAAAATATCATCAAAATCCTTAATTCTGGTTAACCATTATCGAACCCACAAAATAAAATCAGCAAAGGGGCAATAAAAGTCTGATTTCTGACAGAAACATTGTACATATAAGATGAGAAAAGCACAAAATATGTTAGCATATGCAGTTGGACAAAGGATTTTGTAAAACACTTCTGACATTCTGCACAAAGGAGTGATCAAACATTCGAAGCAAGAGTAACGAAACGCAAGTATTCAGGTCGAGTATGAAAACGAAAAATCGCACACATTCTACAAGCAGCAGCTGATCACAAAAGAAAGCAACTTTGTTGGAGTGTACTCACAGCCTTGTATTATGAGTTGCTCTCCCTGCAAACACGTTGGGCAGCTGAAATTGGTGCATGCGACTAGAGCCCCTTTAAAAGACTTGAAACGACGCCTCTATCAAAATTCCAGGTCCACCTTGATAATTTTATTATTTTGCTCCTCTTGTTCTGCATGTCATTTGTTCTGATTGAATATTCTCTCCTATCTTCGTTGACATCTCGTTCAAGTGCTTTTTTCTTTTAAAAAATAACTTTTTGTACCTTGAGGAATATAGATTTAATGTTTTGTAACGTTTAATCTGCTATCTTTATTCTTTTTCAACTAAATTTAGAAAAAATTACACAATTATGTAAACAGAACGTCACTGTCACAAAAACACTAAAAATGACGTAACGTAGCTGACAGATGACGGGTGGCATCCTAGAGTTGGGACAATCGAATCATCTTTTAACAGAATCTACTGCAAAAAAGTCTAGTCAGAGACTGGCATGCGTTCAAAAACTCGACTCTATAATAACATTTAATAGTTTTCTCACACACCTACACAATAATAAAATAATACCAAGTACGTTATTTCCCTAAAGCTTCGTTCGCCTAGGTAACAAATTACTCACAGTTACAGTAAATACTAATATATTCATTTTATACAGGCACTTCATTGTATTTAATCAGTTTGATGTTACGATATTATTCGAAAAAATCAGTATTTCGGGTGAAGATATACGAAACAACACACTTCAGGAATCATAGAAACATGTGTGACAACTTAACAACTACGCTTAGCTAGTGATCATACATCCTCGTTGTACCCCATTCTTGGAACCAGAGATGGGATCATCTGCTCACGTAAACCAAATCTCAAAATGTGTCATCCAATAAAACTCGTACTCGTAGTTGAAACATTATAGTGCATGTATAAAAAACACAATTTTTGACCAGTGAGCACAGGCTGACGCCAAAGACGTATTCCAAACAATATTAACTACTGAAAATTAGAAAAAAAATTTAACAAAACTTATCGCATGAAACTTTTTCTAGCTTTTTATATTAGCTGTAAATATTCACAGGCATTCTTTATCTGAAGGAAGAAATATAATAAGGTTAGCTCATTTCAGTTAAGGACATTCATACCTTCATTCGGCTGGCGAAAACCGAAAATTGAGAAGTCTCTTGCCTGCATAGCACGAAATGTCATGAAATTCGAGCCCTGTGATAACTCGGTAACTACCTCTGGGATTTTGATGAAAATTTTACATGAGGTTACTATACTTCGCCAACGATGAAATAACTTTGTAGTTTTTATAAATTGATTCGATGGCGGCCGATCTAGAGACAAAAAGCGTGAAAAATGAAAATCGCTCAATCTTCGTCTTTTTGACGTTTCAGAGGGGTCACCGATTACTTTCAGAAACATGTTTGTAGGGGTATGTGGGTGTAGGCTTCCAACTCCGGTAATTCTATGCAGCTATTAAACATATTTAACACAGCATAGATTTCCCTGTCCATTTGCCCCTAAAGCTTGATAGAGAAATATTTTCGACACACGCGTGTATGGATAAAGCTGCATCGCGGTCAAGTCAAGTCATCTTTGGTTGTCGGAGCGGTCCGTAGGGCCTTAGGTCTTGTGTCAGAGTCAGTTTGTAAATCTGTTAGGTGCGGTAATTCAGAAACCAGACAACGTTAAGGAAACAAGTGAAGAAAAGGAGAGAAAGGAGGGAGAGGGCAAAGAGGAAGAAGATACTGAGTAGTGTAACTCGCGCAACAGAAGGTTATCATATCCATAGCTAACTTTTTTGTCAGATGGGCTAACTTGAGCCGAACGAAAATCACAATCCTCTATGAAGTGGTGACAGCGTTCCATGGGGAGTGCAGAGTCAACCTGCTTGACACAGTTTTTTCTTTTTCCTTTACAAAGCCACAACCCAGAATGAATATCTTACGGGAATTATTTTCTTAAGGCAGATGAAAGAGCGGCTGAAAAAATCTTTAACTTCCAGACCTTCCACCATTGTATGTATCCGCCACTGACGATGCGGTTGTCTATCCAATATTCAGATATCCGCTATTCCAGAATCCAGAAATAAACCGTGGAATCGTGTCTGTCGCTTAGATCCTCGCGCAACATGCGTCAAACGACGTGCCAGGTTAGTTTTATATAGTACGGGAAATGTAAAGGTATCTCGAGGTCTTGGTCCACGAAGCACTTATTCGTAATGTAACAGTCGAAATCTAGGGTTTGTTAACAAAATTGCATACACAACAATGAAAAACATTGCAGACAAACCAGAATGTTTGATGGATACTGAAAAAGGCCAACCGTAACTTTAACTTTGAGTATCATCTACTTTAATTTGAATCTACAAGTTCTTAGTAAAGGTCTTTACTTTCGCGATAAAAAGTGCCATTTTTTATCCAGGTTTTTTCTCATGGTTCGGTTGTTCGGATGTTTCACTTCTCAAGACCAAACTGTTGTCTTATATTATTTCCTCACATGGCAAAAAACATTGTACCCTCCAAATGTCGACGTACTATTTCTCGCTTTTCAGATCCATAAAAAATAATTTGCAACATTTCGGTCGAAGATTGCTCAACAATAATTAATCGGTGTGTTACAATAGTTCTGGATGGGTCTTCGATTCCGAACCACCTAATTTTCCTGCACTAACGTTGGACTCTATACCGCAGATCAATACAAACGGCAGGATAGAGCAAAAGTGAGATAGGGAGAGACAGACAGAGAGACCCGTTTCTTCCCATATTCCAACGCCTACTGCGAGAACGGCACTACAACTCCTTCTCATACTAACCCACAACTCACTGACATACTTCCATTCCACGTCGAGATCGGTAAATTTTAGTTCGTACCTCAACTGTAGACAAACAGACAAACGGACAATGTGCAATGTGTGTGGGATGTCGAGGGACCGACTTCAATCTGAAGATGACCATGGTCAAGGCTACGAGATACTGAAGCCGATGAAGCTGTCGCATCGGGGTTGAGCCGCAGCTTCGGAGAGATAGTGTTGTTCTGGTTAGTAGTTTTCGTGCTAAGGACACCCGAAAAATTGGACAGTCTCGCGGAATTTTTTCCTCGAGTTCAAAATGTCATCAATTTTTTTATCAAGAAAAAAATAATCGGTTCTAGATACGTTAATGAAGTAACTGATGATCTGATCAATCAGTGGTTCTAAGACAGGGGCGTAACAGCACCCAAACATGCGTTACCCCCAGCTTACAAGCACCCCACGTACGAAAAACAAAGAATTCGTAAAGTGTTATCCACAATCTCTCGCAAGTGGGCTGTATGCTAAATTAAAAATTGTCAAGCTTTAAACCTCAAATTGTATCGCTAGGTAATAGTAGCATTCTTCTATTTTTAACCCTATGGATTGTAAACTGGAACAGCTAAAAGAAGCTTTTCGAATGTAAAATCTTAGGACTTTCTATGAGGCAACTTAGACTATCAAGCAACGTACCGGCTGAAAATTTGAAAAAACTAAAATCGTTTTCCGTCAGGGATGGTTTATTAAAAACATTTTCGGAAAAAAATAGTGTCAAGTAGATTGATTCTGTGTTTTGATTTTTACTTATAACAGCGCTGCCATTTACACAATTCTCAAAGTAGCATCATCTACTATGACCACACATGGATTTACGTATTGTAGACATCTCCAAACTGAAAACATTTATCAGAATTTCTAATTTTTGTATTCAAGTATTCCTCCCCACCTCCATCCAATTTATATTCACTGCAAGCGTTTCTTTTGTAAAAATCTATACGTCAAATTTTACCCTCCATTTGGGATTCGCTACAGTTGGGTAGGGCTCCCCTAAAAATTTTGATATGGGGCCCCTGAGGAGCAAGCTACGCCACTGTTCTAAGAAATGTTTAAATACATATCAGTCTGCTAATGCTCTATTTTCAACACCGATTTTTCGTAAAAATATCAATAATTCCTCGGTCGTTTTTTTTTTTGAGTTATTAATAATACCTGCCCAAACTGCAGATTCGTTAAGAGATGTGAAAATATTTTTCTTCGATTTATCGTAATATCCTCTCAGCCGATTTCGTTTAAATGTGTTTCATCATCTTTTCCTTTGGGGGGTTGAGTTTTTCTTCTTGAATTGCGTCTATACTAAGCATTTTACAATTAGGAAGAAAAAATAAATTTAGAAAAAAGCTTGATAGTCTGAATATTGAAAACAACGTGTTACCAGATCTTTGTTATGAATGTTACTTCAGAAAATTGTGCAATGAATCATCTCATCTTTTGAAAGTTAGCCAGGTACTTCATCAACACCTTGTATAAAATCAAACCTACCTGACTTTTTGCAGGGTTTCTTCCTAAGAACAACACAGGACAAAGATATTATAGTACCTGATTCAGTCGCACGTAAGTGTGATGCAAGTGATACAAGCAACGATAGCAAGATGAAGGTTGTTACAGATCATATTATCGTTTTGTTAGGTAGGTAATTCTATGCATTCAATAATGTTTTATTTTATTGTGTGAATTTTGGAGTGAACAATTTTGGCATTCGATAAAACACGTAATTGGAAATGTTTTTTTTTCATGGGGAGTTTTTTCTTAATATTCACCATACCAAAATAGTATATTACATACCCAGATTGATTTTGAGCTTGAAGGTTATTTGAAGGTCAGCTTTGAAATTCCAGATGTAAGCCCCCCCTTTTGATTCCGGTAACGAAACGAGCAAACAATTTGACGTTCAAACGTGACCTTAAATCTCGCTCGTATTTGTCCTTGAGTGGTCCCTCAAGGTCAAACTACCACTATTGCTGAATATCGATCTCTTCTGAAATGCGTTTGAGGGCCAACTCGAAAATTTTAAAAGTAAACCCCTAATTTTGACACCGGAATGAAACGAACGACAGATTTTACGTTCAGATATGACCTTGAATGACCCGTAAACTATTAAACTATTGCTATATGGCCTAGGCCCTTAACCTTGCTAAAGGTCAAAAGAAGGCGTTTATATTTGAAATTTCACAGTTGACCGTCAAATAACCTTCAGGGTCTAAATCAAGGTCGAATACAAGGTCACCGACAGATAGATGAGGGGAAATCCTTCAACTTTTATTTGAACCATTTCCCAAAGAGTTATCGAGCCGTTCCGGTACTTTTGCCACTCCCTGTATATAAATCACATATAAAATATTTCCAGGATTCAGCTTGAAGTGCCTCTATAACTATTTTTGGATAGTGCTCCGCTTTCCGCTATTATTGTATTTATAAAACGACGAATTCAAACAAAAAACTCCGATACGGACATGTTACCTGTTTCTCATTATTTTTTTAAAATTCGAATTGGCCTCATAAGAATAATCTATTGCAGTTTATTTTATACCAATTGGCAAGGCTTTTTGGAAATGTGCTCGTGAGTAAAATGAACATTATCATAAGCTTAACATACTGATTATACTGATAACGCTATTTGCTGTCAGTGAATAATATTGCTAATTATTTTTTAGCGCCAAATTGATAGCATGCTTGAAAATGATAAATCTTAATGCTGTTTAACTATATACTTAGGTCTAATGCATTCTATAACTCTTTCTAATAGTTATATCCAAACATTATTCATGAACTCTAAAATTAGATTGGCTTCTGTAACAAAAGCCTAAAAAAGCATTAAACGAGAAACAAGCAAAGCAAAAAATGTTTAATCGATAATCTGTAGTTTTTGGGTAGATTTATCTTTACAAACTAATTTAACTTTGGAGGTTGTGAATAACATAACATATTTTCCCTGGAGATACCAGCCATGTATTTCAGCGTCCAAAAAATTATTCGAGATGAAATGAGATATCTCAGCGTCATTTATGAGAAAAAATCTACTTTGAAAAGAGCCATAGTTCGAAATGGAAATATTTGCTTTCCGTTCTGTAACCACGGCCAACCGTAGACAGTGCTGTTTCGTGCTCATTAGCAACTCATCAGTGCGATATAGGTCTGGTAGTCCTGGTGACAAGTGAATGGAAAGGCAAACAAGTAGGAAATCTGAGGATCCCCATTGGTAGGTGGAGAGTGTCAGATCTTTCCCGCAAGGGTTACAATGTTTGGTTATGCTACTATCTAATTCGAATACTAAAGATTCGAATACAAAGAAAAATGTATTCGATTACCGCTGTTTTGAATACCTGGATTCATGGCTACTTTTTGAATATTCTACCTAAAAAACTCTAACTTGCTTCTTATTGATGTGTTTAACTCATAAAAATACATAAAAAAAATAAAAACTAAATAAAACATGCGTAGCTATTTTGTTTTTTTTTTTGCCATCCACAATCACTGCGAACGTGTTTCAACACGCTTAAGCTGCGTAAAACTCAATATTCATAAGAATAGGAAAACAGTATTCGAAAAGAGGATTCCAATAAATTATTCGAATACCGGAATTTGAATTCAAAGTGAGTATTCGAATATTGGTATTCAGATTCCAAAATAGCGGGTAGTGACCAAAAAAGTATTCAATCGAATACCACATAAGAAACACACAAATGTATTCCAATACCAGCCAAATGTTTTCTGGATAGTATTCAAAATACCGGTATTCGAATACTACTCAGGTAATAGGCGGTAGTATCTTTCAAATCTCTTTTTGGGCGTCGTAATACAGTATACGGTTAGTAATCTTCAAGTAGATTATGTTGATCGATGCCAAAACCACTATTGTCGTCATTTTAGATTAAAGCAATGTCTTCACTGTTTATAGCTCTAAAATAACAATTCTTTAACAATTCTGAATACTTGATTTGCTTTTTACTAACAGCATTAATATATTGGTTTAATTTTGTTTTTCAGTGATAATATTGCTAGGTATAACGACAGTTTGTAAAGCAGAATGCCAAAGTAAGTCTTCAATAGCTTTATATGGCTACCTAAATGTTTTATATTATATTATTGGACCGTCTACATGTTTGTATGTGTATCTCTTATTGAACATAATTACATGTGTATTATTTCTCATATACTACTTTTTAAACTGGGTATTTTTTGGTAACAAATTTCCAAAGAATGTTGCACGAGTTTGTAGTTTTTCGTAGTTCAAAATAAAAGTTGTAGAAATATGTACAATAGATTATGTAGAAATACATACAATACTTTCAGAATAGATACTAAACGTATATTTTCAAATGCCAAAACAAAAAGTTGTCTGACATTTTTTGTATTAGTCCATTTTTTGTTTTTCATCTCTCCCCAATTCTCATGATGCATAATTATGTAGTAAAGCTTGCATTCAATCCTCGCCAGAATTTCGAAAATAAAGCTTCAAACAACACATATTGCAATATTAGCATTAAAACAACTTATTATTAGTCTTAAAATTTTTATTGTATTGTACGACTTCCATAAATTGCATGGGAATGGAAACATCGCCATACACTACGGTAAAACTGTAGATTGCCTGAAAATTTAGTATGTATGAGCACCAATAAGCATGTTTTTTGTGATTCTCATAAAAATAATCATAGTATTAAATATAGGTTAAAAGCTCGGCCATTAAAGGTGCCCCAAGAATAAAACGCGAAGTAAAAATGAATTACATATGCATATGAATTATTGCCCTATGAATATCTTCACTATTATTGAACCACCCTATATGATAAATTCAGCAGAAACAGAAATTTCATGTTGATACGAGGGATGTCTATTAAGTTTTGCATATGGAAATAAAACAACACGGTTAGTAGTTAAATGACTTTATTGTTTTTCGAAGTATTCTCCACGAAGGTTAATACACAAGCAGTTATTTCACTCGTTTGCTGGCAGATCCAAAACGGCATTTTTAAATGCGTCAACTAATTCTTCTGGTGACTGGAACATTTGACCACGCATTTGTCGACTGATGTGGCGCTTCGTTGCCGAAAACATACAGTAACTCAGCAAGGGATTCTTGTTGCGATAATTGTCTCTGAAAGTTGTAATAAATTATGGCGCGAAAGTGTTCTCGGTTGAGTTCCATTTTTCTAATGACTTGGTGACAATTAAAAATACACAGTAGTGAGAACACTGCACGTATTGTTGTGAAACTTTAAATTTAAGTTTACTAAAGAGTGAGGTTAAGATTCAGTACTGACGTTCGATCCGCGCGGCCTACTATCTTTCTATATGCAAAACTTAAAAGACATCCCTGGTATGCGGCTGCCCGCATTTAGTATAGCCCAGGAGTAATAGACTTTTTCCGATAAAAAATCACAGCTGGAATTTTTGGGGGAAAAAGTCTAACCAACCTATGCTATCCTGATATGTGGCCTGAAGTTATAAAAGCTGTTTATGAAATAACTACTTCGCTTTTAATGATGCGGTAGACAGATTCCCATTTATACACGCTGCCGAAGAGGATTTTTTAGATGTTCTATTTTTAAATTAATCTGAACCAATTAACTCCTTGTGATAGACGAACACGTTGATCCGACACTAAAAATAGTTTCTTGGGACACACTTAGATGCTTATTAAAGGTATTTTCCCACTATGCCATATGTAAGTCGTACCATATTGTACACGTTCCTCCTGGTGGCATAAATGCCAAAATAACTGATTCTGCATATCGGTTTTTTCACAGCAATTAGTTCAAAAAGTAATAATTTCTCCTGTAAACACTGTGTTTTGCTGACGTTCTATTGTGATGAAGTATAGTGGGTAAATATCTTTGAAGATCACGAAACAGAAAGTGAAAAAATTGTGAGTATGTGTGTGGTGTTTTACAGCCCGTCAAATCTACTGTTACGAATGCGATAGCTGGTCTGATATGCGATGTAAGGACCCATTCAACCATACTGCACTTCCTAGGGACCAGCCGCCCTTGATGACGTGCAACGGCTGCTGCGTCAAGATGGTCAGGAACTCCAAGTCGCGTAAGTATCAGAAACAATTCGTCCGAATTATCACCATGTTAGCGCCTTTGACAGGGGTACAATTTATTATTGCCTATCATTCGACTCAAATTTCTCTTGCAATAGTAGCACCGTCGGGCGGTGAGTCTAAGTACGTATCGAACCGTCCTCCGCTAAATAGCTGTTCTCTGTTTCAGCGTACGAAGTGGTCCGGCGAACGTGCACATCCCAACTCCAGATCAACCTATTCATGGTCGATCACGTGTGCATGATGGAAAGTAGCGGGACTGGTCACATGTGCTTTTGCGAGGAGGACATGTGCAACGGGGCGCCCAAGATCCCCAACCCCACCACCACTACCATTCTCCTTCCACCACTAGTGCTCGCTTCCTATTGGCTGTTGAGCATGGGCACTGCAGAAGGCATGGGCATGACCTTCAGGTAGACTCCCGCTCTCGCTATATCTCTAACTCTAACTCAGCTCGTCAGCTTCGGCTCTCTAGCCGGGGCGACAGTAGCGACATCTGCATTTCGTCATCCCATACTAACCACCACCATCGTGTGTACAATGCCATCATTCAACGAATGGTAGTGCCGTATAGGACAGGCAGTATTTTTTGGATTACGCACAAAACGTGGAGGTATTTAAAGACGAGCCGTGTAAAAAGCGAAAAAACGGTAGTACCTAAAGCATCGTTCTCACCAAAAACAACCAGACGACAACCCCACTTTAGAGTTGCGTTCTCACCGGATGCAACTGCTAGCACAAAAAGTCCTCGTAGCCAGCTATGGACTGTATTTTGACGACCACAAAACACCCAGCTATGCTTCTCATCTGCGAAATAATTAGAAATTTACTTTAAAAAGGTTAATGTCCTTAGATGGCGTTGTGAGCTTACAAATGAGTACAGCCCCATCTATGAAACATTAACATTTATGAAAGGTTTCTAATCATTGTACTTGAAAAAGGTTAATTCACCTTGAAGTGCGTCGAATGTTCGCGAACGCTCCCGATCGCGTAATTCTGGTTGCCTAAACGTCGTTGTTGCGAGGGCGTCTCATCGATGAAAAGTTCTAGATCACGAGGACGGTACTGATTTTTTTTTATGCTGAATCTCCGGCTTCCACTCACAGTTTTCTTGTGAATATTTGCACAACACGTCTTTGTGTTATCGATTTTACATGTTAATTTAAGCATTATATAGAACGTTTCATTTATACTTTGATGCTTTGCCAATACAACTTAACGAAGGTAATATACTTCAGACGTAATACATTGCCGTCCATTTTGAAAAATTAAAAATAGAAACGTAGAAAGTTTCTGATTAACGTAAAACTTGATAATTGAAAATGAGCTTGTAGCTTTTCAAAATGATTTTTTTTAGAGCTCCAAATAGAGACATACTTTTTTCTTGAAGTAAATTGGTTTCAAATAATACATTTGTAACACGTTTATAACTCTTCTTTATTTTATATATATTTCTATAAAATGTTATGTATAAATTGTTTTTTATATTGTCACGACTGTGACGTGGGTCAGGTTGGCTCTGATCTGAGCAGACTCGCTTGTATGGAGGCTCAAATAATAACATAAAAAATAAATTATCAGTGTATTAACAAAAACGCCGCGCAAACAAAAGTACAATGAAACAAGTACCTACTTTTTGGCCCAGGAAGGTCCAGTCCCACGAAGAGAGATTCGGCCCGAGTGATCGCAGAGCAGGAATAATTCCACGTGTCGGCCCATCCAGTTGTTTTTAAACCGATAGAACCCAAGTCGGTGGCGAATAATACACCTTTGCAGGTTATGCATTATTTGCCGTCGATGTGCACATTTCTCAGCGGATGCGGTTTAGGGTATCTATCGATCTATGTGGCGCCTCATGACGCGTGTACGGCGCTACAGGGTGATCATTCCTGCCAATATTTGCTTCGGATAGGTTATAATAAAAGTATTTTGTATTGGTGAACAGTTTTATTGAGTTCAATTTACAATTTCTATCATTTTCATCAATTCTGGATATTTCTTTTATGTTTACATTTAACATCGGATTTTGAAATACATTTGCCTGGCATCTGCACTGACACAACTGGCGTAGAATGCTCTTAAATAATTTTTGGTCAATTTTAATGACGCTGCGTTGAAATTTTGGAAAAATGGCCGAGTTCATTAGACGGTTTATAATAATGGTTTAATATATTATAACCCTGATATTCTTTTTTCTGTAATTTATATGCAATAAACTTTGCTAAATTTTCTAAGCCATTCCTAGCTCTTGATCATGTTCAATTATTTTTTCAACATCAGAATGATTTTGATCGGAATGTTCATTACCATTGGGCAATTTTAGACCTCGAACATGTGTCCAGTAACAATTTCAGACTCATGTCAAAGTCCTTGATACTGTTTACACTTGCAATAGCAATATTTGGAACATCCTCTTTATTCGACCAGTATTTGGTGATCTGAAAATATTCTCATCATTTCGCCCTGTATGATAATTTCTTAACCTATATTTAAACTGTAGAGCAGCTGTATGATCATATATCCCTCCAATTGCTCGTATAGCGGAAAAACGGAACTAACCACAAATTACGCGCTAAAGCGGCATAAAAAACTGCAAGCGTCTCTGGAGATTTTTGTCCATTGAGCAGCTGGTCGGATTGCCACCGCTTTGGCGAGAACGCCTGTATTTGAATACACGTGACGAGAATTGCTTTCGATGAGAACGATCCCTTACATGATGTTCGCTTTTTACATGATTTGTCATTACGAGCAGCTTGTCACGTTTTGTACCTGATCCAGTAGTACTTTGATGAATTATCCTGTATATGAGAATTCGAATGCTTCAAATGTTCTGAAACTACTGCAAATATGTTCAAAAGACATAATTTTAACGCAATTCGTTTAAGGAAATTATACATGTATGGTTTCAGAACAGTTTAAAGCACTGAAATTTCATACTCAATTTTACTCTTTACTCCGCATTGTATTTTGTCAAACTTCTAGATCCTAGTGAGTAGTTATTGTATGTAAAAATTTTAACAATGCTGATTTTACAAAACTTATCATGCATCGTACCAATAATACTATGCTTTTTAAATATCTGAAACCCCAAGTATAGCGTCAAATATTTTTTCAGGCAAATACGAATTAAACTATTGAATTTGAAAACATAGACATCTTATTACGCATTTTGCAGGTTAATGTTATTGTTTACATATATATTTTTGTCATTTATCGTGTATACCTACATTTAAAAATACGTAAGTTAGAATTTGCTCATAATTCTTATCTTTGTTTACCAGCGTGACAGGGTATGCGAATTAAATTTATACTATATACCCGTATTGTTTTTATCTGTGATTAAAAATAACTACTATATTATCAACAACTCTGTATAATTTAAACGTAAAGAAAAACAAAACAATGCTCAGAGATATGCAGAGCCGCCATACCTACGTCACTTTATACAACGTGTTCGAAAAACAGACGGAGAAATTTTATATTTTGTTAAAAAATATGAAAAAAAATTTCTATAAACATGGATCCCGAAATGCAGAGAGTGATAAATATAAAAAGAGTTAGTTTGTTGTAGTGTACTTTATGTCATGGTATCTCTTGGAAAAGTTGCAATAACACTCTTTCCTAGACTTTTTTTTGATTTTTTGTTTTCCAAGGCACTTGTGATTTTTTTAGCAAAAAGTATTAAACCAATGTTGTCCAGTGACATGCAGTGAAACGGTTTTATTTTTTTTCTCGAAAACGAAGTGGGATTCGAAAAAAATACAAGAGGCAAAGAAGTTGAATTGTTAGATGCTTAATCAAACAACAAACATTAAAGTTTGTACGACATTTTAAACTTAACTATTGAAACAACGTTCATTATTGACAACCATCCACGATTTGTTCACCTGCTTTGCGGTAACTATTTAAGACATTAAAGTCGGGCAAACGTTTGCTCAATACGTAGGTTCACTACTCTTTGTACGATCTGAGAATGACAACGTCGCCTACTTTTCATTGACAGCGAAAATGACGTAGATCTAGTGGTTCTGTGATCTCACTCTTATACGATAACCAACACGATACAATCAAATCAACGCCAAAGATCAAACGAAAAATTCACGAAGTCCATTCAGATCAGATCACAACACATAGCATATCAGCTTTGTTAATTATTATACCGAAAGTTACTTGAAACTACATCGCATATCATGCTGCTTAGCATTCCTATAGGATCAATTAAAAACATAATATTTGCCCAGAGATTTCAAAGCTCATACGAGGAACTGGAACGTTTTTCTATAAATTTCTGACCAGAGAATGTCCAATGTTAGAGGGCTGATGGAAAATTGAAAGTATCAAAAAAATATCGACATACAGAATATTTGCTACATACGGTGTTTTATTGTGATTGTGTTAGAACTAATATATTGATTAAATTTCTTGTTTCAATCCTTTGTAACAATTTTAACTTAATAGGTAACATAAATGTGACATTAATTTCTTTCCTCTCTCACTTGTTTACAAATTTATTATGCAAACCATGTTTAAAATATAACTTTTTCGGCTATTTTTTTGTTATTTAAATGCTTATTTTTATATATCATTAGTTGTTTGTTTTTTCTTCCTAACAATACAAGTTTTTCAATAGACCCATTTTCTTTTTGTTTTTTGCTTTGCGTCATATCTCGAGTAGACTAGACTACAAATGTACTGATGATTGCTAAAAGGTACGAAACAACGGTGTATTATTAAATATATATATATATATATATAAATTAGACTAAATGTCCCATTATACTGATATTCATTTCCCATCAAGTCTAGTGTCAAAATACCGTTCCAGTTCCTTGCGAATTACAAGCAATAAACTGAGGGTTATAACATCTACAATGTTTGAGAAACATGTAAATTACCAACATGTATAGAATAATACATCAACTCTTAGTTTACTTTTATTTAGAAAGCGCATGTCTTCTTACTGCACGATTTCAATCATCTTAGAAAAATTAAAAATTACCAATCAAAGATGGCATGGGGATGAAAATTTCACGCTGATCTAGAGTTTTTCACATTACATCAAACTGTGTACAGGGTGTTACTATTTTTGGCTGTATAATTGGTTACACAGAAAAAATCTAGAAATCAACCTAGAACCTACAAAAACGTAATATTACAAGTCTTATTTCTGACATACACCTTTACATGTTAAATATTTCTGAAGAGTTCAAACACTGATTTTAAAGATGAGTATGAATGAGAATAAAAAGGTTCAAAAACCCATGCAAAGCTCTAGTTCTGCTTACCAGAAAAAGTATAATTTTCTTGGTCCATTGCAAGTCGGAGTTCTGAACGTAGATTTCCGCGATATGGAATTAATTTCAACTTCTCATCAAATTAATTTTTAGGCGCCAAATATTGTTTTTCAATTTTCCAATATAATTGGTCTACCTAAAAGCACCCTGTACACATATAGTAATGCATGACTTAGTAACATCTAGTCAGTATTTGGATAGATCAATTCTTCAGTCTTTCAAAACCATAAAATAAATGGCTTCTTTTCACTTCAAATACTGGCTGCGTTATTTTCATTAAAATCAAAATAATTAAACAATGAAGTGTTAAAAGATATTGCATGATTGGTAAAGTGTCTTGATTTTAAATAATAAAAAACGAACTACTGGATAGGTATATACAGGCATAAAAAAATCATATACTGATATAGTCCACGACAAACTTATAGTGTCTAGCATTTTTTATCGATCGTAATAAAAACAAAAAAACCGAGAAGAGACTATCAGTGTGTCGTGAACTATAACTCAAAAACTTCTACATTGACTTGAAATATACATGTATTGGAATATCAATCTGTGAAATGATTTTTGAGTTACTTTCAGTATTGCACTACCCTGTATATACAGCAGTCATTTTTTTATACTTGAGCCACCACTCAGTATCATAGGGTCAGAATCAGGTCTTATTAAAGTTGCAAAATGTAAGACACGCGCCGTAGAGATGAGATCAAGCCAATTTTCGATCAGCATTCGTTACATATTTTAATGAAGAGTATAATTACGAAGAGCACCATTGTTAGTTGATTTGTATATAATATTGCACATCATTTAGATTGTTAGAGTAAATCGCAGCATGATCAGATAACGGCTTTGAGCAAAAAAAAATGATATGCAGGGCTACTAAGGATGCAGAAACTAATTCAGGCTCTTTCAGAGTATGTATGCAATACCTGCAAGGAGGCATCATAGAAAACTGAATTTTTAATAACTGAAATAGATCGTTATTTTTTCAAGCATGAAACAGTTCATCCTCGTTTCTCCGCTGGTGTGTTGAAAAAAATATGTATTTAGAACTCGTACGTTGTCAGGGAACTCGTTTACATTCTCGGTATTTCCCGCCAAAGAATCAGGCAATTAGATTCTATTTGTAACGCGGACCTATACTAATGTAAATTTTGCATTTCCAATTAATATTAGGCACTTCTGGAGTTTTGAGCAATAAAAGACAGACATCGAAATACATTTTGCCGCGTAAAAAAAGCCATCGATACGGGACGAGAGAGTGAATGAAATTTTACTAACTGGAAGTGTCTTTAAAAAAATTATGTCGTGCCTTTTTGGCGCCAATTTACGTCTGTACATACCCTGTCAGTTGCTCGACCAGAACAAATTGCCGATAGCATCACAAATAGATACATCAGGAATATAGTCGAAATCACGAAAGATGACGATTGCGTCATCATTTTAGTTTGTGTTTGTAGTAAAGACAAACGACAGCGATTTGTGAATATTTTTAATGAAGTTTCAAATATGTTAGACAGAGACAAACAGAATTTTATTGTCTAAACAAACTGTATTGCTAATTTGCATATATCCGACAAAGATAGACGATGTTTTCATGTTGCATGACGGATCATATTTGAAAGATGAAAAGTTAGGTTGTGTTAAAGCAGGTTAGATTAATTTCGAATAATACTTTGGTCTTTGGTGTTCCTGTTTTAAGGTATTCTATTCATAACTGTTTTTTTTTTTCAAAAGAAAAACTATCCACAGAAATTATTATTAAGGTATCACTCAAAACAATGAAATAAAATGAAAATAAAAATAATCAGTGAAATAACCTAACTTCGCAAAATCATAATATAAATTCATGACATCGTGATTTTATCATCGACGTACGTCCATTGATTACTTCAGTACAATTTATGGTATCACGTAATAGTAATCTTTCGTGATTTTGACTATAAAACAATGCACTGATGGGATCCAGTGTTGAATAAAAGAACACTTTTGATGAGCTTAGAAGCCATCTGTCAACCCATTGTTGAATAAAAAACTGCCCAAGAACGGATTAAACTTAAATATTTGAAAGATATATGTTTTGGGAGCAAAATATGGAAATTCATGGATTTTTTTTTTAAATATTGAGTTCCTGTAGTACATAAAGAAAGACATGCCAAGTTTCTATAAAACGATGTCCATATCCTTCCAAATAGTAACCATGCATTATTGACTTGTACAGTATCATTCAGGGATTACAAAAGAAAAAAGATGCCTGTATATAAGAAAGCTCTTTTGGACATTTTCTATAGAGAATTGTCAAATAGCTTTTTGGTTTTGCTCACATATAATGGGACGCTGTGCAAATATAAATTATTTGTTAGTCTAGCCCTGCATATCCAGTTTCAGAATTTCCCAATTTGTCAAAACTTGTCCCAGTTTAATATTAGAAATTTGGAAGCTGAGGGTAAGTGAATACACACTTATTTATTCAGGTGTGGTCAATTTTTTGAAACATTTCATCAGCTTACTAATGGTGAAAGACTAACAATACATATAAATTGAAAAATAAACCTTTTCCACCTCCCAAAAGTAAACTAAGGCCAGTCCTCGCTATTTACATTTGTGTACATTTAATCCTGAGGTGTTTCTTCCCAGTGTACGGCACAGTGCTTAATGGAACATCATTTCGCAATGCGCTGTACAAAGAAACACCTCAGGTCATTCCTTTAGACTTTAGTAGATATATTGTAAAAAAATGAATACATATATTAAAGATGTGTTATTACTATAAATTGTTAAAACTTAAGATACTTTAAGCAAGATGTATCATAACGAATAAACGTTTACCTTGGCTGTTAAATCTTTTTTATCCCTTACAGAATTTAAGGTTATGTCGGTATGTTTTTTTTTCGTTAGATTGAAGTACGCACTGTTCAATCTATTTTCGTGCGAATTTAAGGGAATTAAAGTACAGACTCTCATCTGGGATGTTGCAATACTGATTAACAATTTCATGTAAACAAATTCGAGCTTCGAAAAACGGTGATAAACTTTTTGAGAGTAGTTCAAAGTGCACGTCGAAGTTAACATAACCTGTACAGGAAAAACAAGAAGGAAAAGCGTTTGAGATAGATAGAAAAGCTGGAAAAGTTATACTTACGGTTCAATGTATACGCCGAGGAGTGTGTTGGTTAATTTTTGCACAGGTAAAACGTATTTGATTTAAGATTTTCCACTATTTACATGGTTTATTAAGTCACTTGACAGGTGTTATTTTTTTTTTGTTATGATATTTTTTATTAATTTTTTATAACCTCAAAACTTCAAACATTTGTTTACCCATCTTCTAGCTACACAGATCACATGTAAATATAGGGAAAATGAAGATTTTGAGAAAAACAGGGAAAATTTCGTATAATTCGTTGTTTTGGAGTGTCTAATTCCGGGTAAGATCGGCAAAATGACAGTCGGAGACGGTACCAAACTGTCAAACCGATTCTCCTTAAAGATTCATATCGACTATCGTAAAAATTGGGATGGGGTTACTAAAATTTATTGGTACACATTTAAAGAATAAAATGTACAATTTATTTAAAATAATTCAGCACCTTATCTCTAATTCACATGAAATCAGTAACTGAACTTGAAAACCAAAATATTTGATAACCTAGATTACTTAACTATTTTGAACTTGAAAGTAAGAATTATAATAACGTTGAATATTAAATTTCTGCAAGAGAAACTTCATCTCAAAATACAAGGTGTTACAGAATGTTGCTAGGAAAAAAATTTTATGTTCATATATCTGTGGTTTCGTTTCTAAACCATTAGAAACATGTTTGTTCAAGTAGCGAAATATTATTTTTGACTGCAGGCGCTTCAAATAGCAACTTGCGTTCGTGCATGGTGCAACACTTATGCCAAGATGCGGCAGGCAAAGGCATTAAAATGGACAGAGTGTTAGTAGTGTCAAAGTTCTCAAAATATGAATTCGAGAGGAAAAAACACAAACACCTCAATGATAAAGAACTTGAAAAGCTGTTGAGGAAAAGAGGGACAAACTTTGACAAATTGATACACTTTCACAATATACACAAAAAGTTTGAGGAGAGGCTCTCGTCGACGCTTAGAGAGATGGGCATTCAGGTAGAAGTCGAGAATAAGTACGTGAATGTTTTAGAATTGTTTACGTTAGGAAGTTAAGGGTCGTATCGTTAGTCATTTATACAACTGTAGCACGCTATATGGCCTCCTTGATTTTCAAAGTTTTTTCTCTCCTTCAGAAAGGCTGGGGTATTTCTGGATGTAACTACTGTTTTCTGTCAGCGACAGCGCACTCCCATTGTGAGGTTATGTTTTCTTTTTGAATATTAAGAAAATTCAGGCTGATAAAACAGATAATAAAAACCAAGTTTTATCAGCCTGAAATATCTTGGAAATCAAAAAGAAAGTATAACCCCAAAATAGAGCTCTTACACGAAACAGTAGAAATCTAGAAATACCACTGCCTTTCTGAGGACAGAAAAAAACTATGAAAATCAAGGTGGCCATAATGGCGCCCTACAATTGTAGGAACGACTGGCGATACGGCCCGGAGGTTTGAGGGTCAGATTTATACGAGTATACGTTACTAAAGTATTGAGAGCGGTTTGAGAAGCATTTAATTTCATAATAGGCTCTAACAGATGTTATCAGAGGTTTTCAAAATCCTTAATTTTCCAAAATTTCCGGAACTTTCAGAATGTTTTAAGTTATCAAAATTGCCAAAATGTTCAAGATTGTCAAAATTTTTGCAAAATTCAGAAAATCGTAAAAATTCTGAACATATTGAAAATTTTTATGAATACGCTAAATTTGAAGATATTGAAAATGCTGAAAATTCATATTTTTTGTAATTTCGTGGTTTATGAAATTATCGAAAATCGTGCAGATTTCAAAAATATACCAAATATGGAATACCTGTGAGAACAAATGGGCAACTCATTCATTTTGGTCCTTGGCACGAAGACTAGAGATAGGAGGTTAAACTGCATAAGGGTATTCGTATGAGGTCAGCCCTTTCGCCAAGGAGGGCGTGGCTTTCGGAAATCTAGTGTGCGTAGAGCATCTGCATGGTGGTTTACAACCATGATAACAGAAAACCAGAACCCGAAATTCATTTTCTGCGCAGTGTACATACGTGAGAGATGTCATATGCGCAGAACCTGAAATTAATTTCCTGTTCAGAATAACCAATAACCACCGCCTTCATGGTTGACACTTTTGGGGGAGACTGGGGGTGACTCTATGGGTTTAAGATCCTATCCCTGGTCTTCATAGTACTTAACTATACCTGCAGTTAACTATATAATGATCCCATTACTAAATATTTTTTGTTGAAGAATCAAATACGGTGGTGAAAACGTAAAAAAAGCAGACGTCATTATACCAGCAGGAGGTGACGGGACGTTCCTATTGGCTGCCAGCAGAGTATTGGACAATGTCAAACCAGTGGTGGGGTTTAACTCAGACCCAAATAGGTCAGAGGGGTATCTGTGTCTGCCTAAACGGTATACAGAAAATATCAGGGAGGCTATCGAACGATTACAGAAGGTTTGTAGTTTGGGTTAACTTCAAATTCGTCATTCTTCAAACACACAAAAAGGAAAAAAAATTGAATATCGAATGCTAAGGGCAAAATAATCGCAACAATTTCCGTCAGCTTCACTTTGATACCTTTTTCAACGCAAAGGCGAATTTCTGTGACATAGATATGAAATATTGCAGGGAAATTTCAGTTGGCTTATGAGAAGCAGGATAAGAACAACGTATATGGCATGTGAAGATGATAATCTAAAACCAACTTTTCTTCATGATACGTCAGGTCAAAATGAGAATGGAATTCCACCGTTTCCAGCAAAATGTGATAAAGGCCCCAATGTCCTGCCTGTGTTAGCTTTAAACGAGGTAAATAAACACATAGTAGTACTAAAAATAGTAGTAATTAATATTTATTTATATTAATATTGATGATGTAACACAATAAAATGGTTTCTTTAATCTACCACTAAAGGATAGCCTGTGCGTGGCCATCTGATAATTTCAAGGCCTACCAAGGAAACTGTTTTTTTTAATAACTAAGGTTTTGCAAGGTCAATGTATGACATATTATACATTTTTGGAATCAGAATAAAAAACTCTATCCACCTGCGGAAAAATCCAGTATGGCATCCATAAGAAAAAATAAATTTGATGCTGGCGAACAAGAGACGAAACGTCATATTGAAATTCTAATTATGTCATCGTATAAAGGAGGAAAAGATTATTAGTACATATATGTATATATTTTAGGTATTCATGGGCGAGACAGTGTCAGCGCGCGTTTCCCACTTACAGATGCGATTCAACGGCAGTCACACGTCATACACAAACCTGAAATGCAGCGGTTTGTGCGTGGCCACAGGCACCGGGTCCACGTCGTGGCATCTGAGCATCAATAGGCTGCCCGCTCAAAGCGTGGCGGAGTTACTGAGACTGTTAGAGATAGATTCAAGCGACGCACCAGGAAGCTTGGCTTCCACGTTTGCAGAGATTTACAACAGGAATTTGGTGTTCGCCCCCGGTAAGTACTCTGCCAGGAAAAATGAAAACGCCATACTAGACAACACAGTAAATTTTAATCGCTCGTCGGCAAACATGTGCAATCACGCGTGTCAACCGCGGCTAATAAACTAAATTTTTTCGGCGGTAAGATTGTCGAGGCGGTGTTGCCAAAATGACATAAAATGTTCAGAAAACGCTACATTTATACCGAGCTGAATTGAGTTGAATTTCAAATTTACCACTGTCAAGTGTGTGGGTGACAGGTGACAGTAGACAATAGTGAGGGAATATGGGGCCTGAAAAGAGGAGGGTAGGGAATGTCGAGCTTACGTCAAAAAGTGGAATTATGTCCATTAAACCATCCAAAGGTATTAGCAACTGTATTTACACCACCGGCATCCTACAAATTTCAAGCAGACGTTCTTATTTTGTTGCTGAAGTAAACCGTGTAATATTCCGCGTAGGCCCCTATTTTCAAGCGCCTTGTTACGACTTACAACAGTCATCCACATACAGATATGTATCAAAATACGTAAAATTTGACAAGTTTTTCAGTTCGCGATATAACCAAAAGTTTGTGATTGGCTCTTCGTTTATTTCTGGTTTACAAAAAAACAGTGATCTATATGAGCGGAATGCCTTTGGTTTGAAAGTTTCGCTCATGGATTGCTCGACATTCCGCCAAAGATCCTCACTTTTCCCTCAAAGGTGAATCTGCATGTACCGAGGCGGTGTTGACAAGCTGACATAAAATGTTTAGAAAACGCTACATTTATACTGAGCTGAATTGTACTCATTTCTTTTCACAGTTTTTTGGCGTTACATCAAAAACTCGAGGTAAGGCTGTCTAGATGACTGACAACTATGTCAAATACACCGACGAACTGAATCGTGTAATATTCCGTATAGTGCTCTAAAAGTTAAATAGCTATGTGATAATTAACAGATTTTGAGAATAACTTCTGTTTAAATGACGCGGCGAGCACTCACGAAAAGTGTGATTTATAACTTTATTGGATGAAAATGTATTTCATAGGCTGCATATGCTTCCACAAGTGATGGACAGAATTCATCAAAAAGGATTATGTATCTGGCAACACCGTTATCTCTGACCAAATAAGAACAACACGTGTTTAGACGCCATCAGCTGTTTTGTTGACACCATGTTTTTGGTTACATCTGTTATCTCTCTCTAAATCATTTGCTTTGTCTGACTTCTCTTGGAATGAGTGTTTGTCTCTCTCTTTTTGAGCACACCCTGTATAATGCTAATAAACCTTTTTTCAGACGACAAGGGGATGGCGTACACGATCCGCGACCTGATTTCAGCCACCGTGTGGCCACAGCCTAAAGGCATCAAACCACGTGGCTTCGTCAAGCAAATGGAGATCACCTCACACTGTATAGACGCTTCCTTGGTCATAGACGGCGGCGTTTCGTTCAAATTTAACGACGGCACTGTCGCGCTCTTGGAAATACTGCCCGAAGACGCGCTTAGAACTGTGATACTTAGGGATTGATGATATATTCACTTCGAAGTCGAATCTCATTTACGCCGCAATAAAACAAACGCGCACGTATCTCAAATCTTATTGGCCACTCAACGACATACGAATAGAGACACGAAATTTTATTGATTGAGATTGGTCGTGTTTGTTTCGATCCAGCGTAAATGAGGTTTCAATAATTTATAGCTGCAAAGACTGTAGCTTTTGGGGCAATCATCGGTTATGAGAGTGATACTTTTCACTTTAGAATTCTAAGAAATTTCATACTGATAACACTTGATCTTTATCATCTGTTTCATCAGCCTGAAGGTCCTTAAGACTTAAAAAGAAAACATAACCTCACAATAAGAGAGCGCTGACGCTGACACGGAACAGTAGAAATCTAGAAATACCCCAGCCTTTCTGAAGTACAGAAAATACTCTGAAACTCAAGGAGGGCTTAAAGGCGTCCTACAATTGTAGGAACGGCTGGCGATACGACCGTTGGTCATTTCACGGAAAGTATCGATCTCTTAATTTCATGGCGTTAAATTCCAGATCAACAACGTTGCTGAACCATTTCCAGGCAAATTTACATATTGATTCAACATATGGATGAGAATTCTAAGAGATGTCAGAGACAAATATTTAATAGTTACAGTTATCACTTATTACTATATAGGACTATTTTAGAATATACGATAGATAGGAGAACAAATGGATATTTAATGAGACTATTGTTAGAATGTGAAAATTACTACTTAAAGAATAAGGCAATGTTGATATATTCCATTTCGAAATGCATAAGCTTTTATGTATGATATAATAAAGGAATTTTTCGTTTATTGTAAAATATAATTTACCTTACCTGTATCCACACAAAAATATAGCCTCATCCTATGCATCTCTACAAAAATTGCTTTATACAATCGTTCATTTCAAAGAACGATATTTTCAAATACGCGAAAATGATAATAAAGCAAATTAAATCTCATGAATATTTTATTTAGAACCACCTTAAATCTTGTCCTGTGTCCAACATCTCTTTCTCATGGATAACACTTACTCTTCACAGCTCTGCCACACCACTGGACCAAATTTTATCAATTGCATTGAGACCTTATATCAAAAGTGACTATTTCGCCAAAATGAAATTCAACTATAACGCCAGTTTTCCAAGGCTGGTGTTTATAAGAACATTGTCTAGAGTCTCTGTGATAAGTCCGGTAGCGACAGTGATGTTGTTTTCGCGAACTGTGAACTGTTGACCTTGAACCATCGCCATTTTCCACATCAGCGTCAAGTACACTGACCCGTGGTCGCCTGGCATCAACATATTCGTATTTGCATCTGTAAGAAAAAATCGCGTCATGTAGGTTGACTCTTCAAAAAACCCTGAATAAAGAAATATTAGGGTCGTCTAAACAGATAGTTACACTATTTCTTACTACATCTGGTAGCAGGAAATTCTGTGACTGTCATCGATTCTGCAGTCAGGTTCCAGCCATTATGGCGACTCCAATTCTCTCTCCTGTCGATTATGAAGCATGCGCTAATATTAGTCAATTCCAACTTTATTTAGTCATTAAAATTACCTAAATCGATTCTGCAAGGTGCGTTCCACGTTCTGCTAAACAACTGCTGGCAGTACTTTCCAGTGATAGGCTTGGTGCGACCTCCCTCGTTCGTTGCTAAAAAGTAAATGCTCGCCTTGAAGCGGTTGCTCAACTTTTGGCTGTTTGGGGCGCACAACAACATCCCTCTTCTGATATCTTTCAATCGGATGCTTCTCAATAAAATGCCTACATTTTCGCCAGCTACAGCCTGGAAAAATGGAGACAACTAGATTATTTCAGTACATTCTATTGAATGATATAAATAAATATTCTAGTCCCATACACAAATCACCCTGTATAAAAAGATTTTCTTCTCACCTGTGGAACACTCTTCTTGAACACTTGTATATCCGACAAAGTCATCTTGATATCCAGATCAAATCCCAACAATTCAGCTTCTCCATTTTTCTTCAAGCTGCCTCTGCTTATCGTACCAACCACGACTGTTCCCCTACCAGGCACTGTAAAGGCATTGTCAATAGGAACCATGAAGGGAGATGTCAAGTCTCTCTTTGGATCTGGGATGTATTTGTCTAAAGTATCCAATAATTGCAGGACAGATTTCTCGCCTAAATCAGGGGACTCGCCCTTCAGGGCTTTTATTGCTGAGCCGCATATCACTGGTGAGTTAGAGCCATCAAAACCGAAATCGTCCAGTAGCTCGCGGATTTCTAGTTCTACTAGCTCCAATACCTGCAAGAAATGACCTAGACTTCAAGATGGCCCAATCACTGGGTTCAACAGAATAGGATTAAGATTTATTAAGGATGGCATGAGGTTTTGTATAGTGAGGAATTGGATCTAGGATCATCTACTTCCAATCCTAGCCAAGTAGACAAGTGACATTTGCTGTAAAGTTGCACACAGAGTTCCTATAATTGGATTAAAGTGTTAATCCGATCCTACTTATTTACAAGACTGGCTCATCCTGTTAAGAGGGGATGATCATAGGTATTTACATTGAGGAGTTTTCAAACCATACCTCTTGATCAACAAGATCTGCCTTGTTGATATAGACAACCACTTTTTCAATGCCAACTTGCTTGGCTAATAACAGATGTTCCCTAGTCTGAGGCATCTGCCCATCATCAGCAGCAACTACCAGTATAGCCCCATCCATTTGTGATACTCCAGAAATCATGTTCTTGATAAAATCTGCATGCCCCGGACAGTCTGTATGGGCATAACTTCTTTTTGACGTACTGTACCCTATATGAGCTGCATTTATTGTTATGCCTACGAAGAAATTTGGTCAAGTAAATTAATTATCAGAAGTGGGATGCTACCTCTAGCCTTTTCTTCTGGAGCCTTGTCAATTTGATCGTACGAGACATACTTTGCTAAACCATTTTTCTCCAAGACTTTGGTGATAGCTGCAGTTAAAGTAGTTTTGCCGTGATCTACGTGACCTATAGTGCCGACGTTCACGTGTTTTTTCTCGGCTTCGGTACAGTAATTGAGGCTGACAGGGCACTGGAAAGAAGGGGGCCGCGCTTTGGCACTACCGATGAATGTCCGCATTTTTAACGAGTACTGTCGTATGTAGGGGCTTCTAATCACTGTATGAACACGCAAAAACAGGTTTTTTGCACTCATTTTATTGTGTTTATCATGAAAATGGGAAGTATGTCCTAAAATCTAAAATTGTAACATTTTAGGTTATATTTATCAGCTGAAAGCACAGAACGCATAAGACTGCTGGGAGGCGAATCTAGAGTCAATAAGCAAAAAAAAGGAGGCGTGTCTTCACTAACAAGTGACCACGCCTCTATTTCTCGTACTTGTAGTAGTCGCCCATTCTCGTTTTCGGCGAATTGTCTGAACCTGAACGATACTGAGCGGCGCTGTCAGCTCTACCGCCTTAGCAATAGATCTACCACTTTGATGTCAAAACTTGTCGACTTAGGGCCGTATCGTCAGTCGTTCCAACAATAAATTGTGGGATACCTAAATGGCCTCCTTGATTTTCATAGTATTTTCTCTCCTTCAGAAAGGCTGGGCTATGTCTAAGCTTCTACTGTTCCGAGTCAGCGGATTGTAGGAATTTCAAGCTGATAAAACAGATGATAAAAATCAAAAGCATGAATAATTTGATGCAAATAGGTATTTGAAACATAACTTCAAAATACAGCGCCTTTCTGAAGGACATGAAAACCTATGAAATTAAGGAGGCCATAAAGTCCTATAATAACTGCAGGATCGACTGACGAACGGCCCTAAGTAGGCTAGTGTGCAAATAGTTCACTACGCTCTAGCTACAAGTGAGCATGAAGTGAATGACAGCTAGTTACAAATTGACGTCTTGTTGGAAAATCTCATAATATGTAAAAATCCTATGGACCGCTCTGACAGACAATGACGAATAGAGAATATGTAAAACAACGGCAATGTCACTTTTCAAGTTACGTAATAGCCCTGCGGGAGCCAGAAAGCATTGTGAATTAATATAAATACAGTTGTATATTTATTTATTCTTGTTAATTTATTATCAATGTTTTTATTTATTTGTGCTCAGCGCAAGTTATTACATATAAATAATACACTGGGAGTTACAAAAATAAAATATAGGAAAAGTCATATAAACATAGGGAGGTTCGGGAATGGCTCGTTTCTATTATAATCCGGTTGGACCTTTAAATTTGCATATTTGGCACGATTTTGCGTAAAATCTTGAGGATTTTGAAGATTTGGAAATCAGTCGGAAAAAATATCGCTGTTACACATCATTCTTCTGTTTTTAAATGAAAGTTCGGAGTAAATCTTTTTCTGGTGTGCCAGGAATCAGTGCATCTTATTCTTAGGAAAATCTGGTGTTATTAATATCGAAGCCAAATATTTAGCCCGATATATAATTCAATCAAGTTGGAAAGAATCAGTAGTTTTTCTGCTTATTGCTTGAGTTGGGCATCTAGCCAAAAATGTGTACAGCCTGTACATCTGTGTTTTATTATCGAATTCGTTTATTTCTAATATATTTTTATGTAGAAAAAAGAGTCATGAGATTTTCAACGCACATTCTTCACGAGTTGGTATCCTGAAATAAAATTGTAATGATGCCAAACTACCAAATGGTTTAATAAAGACATTTCAATCGAAACTTCAGCGAAAAACCTGTATAGCGACAATAATGTAAGAGCAAAATGTCAATTAATCGGATGCATATAAAACTAACGAATAATGACTCAAGTTGCTGTTAAAATGTCCTATGGGGCACCCTATGGAGCTTTTAAAAACAGAATATCGATCAGCGATTTGAAAAGAATTTGAAAAAAGGGGGATGGGGCAGCGGCTGCTGCATCGGCGCTTCTAATAGCAAATATAGCGAATGTCCTTGTCACAATTGAAGTGGGGCAGGGGGAGGTGCCAACAGATATCAGTGATCAATCTCGATTCGCCTATGGGGGGCTAATGACTCCCCCCATCAAGACCCGCCATTGTTTGTTATGATTTTCTCTGGGATAAAGTGTAGCGAACTACGATATATTAAAATGATCAGTCATGTTACGATTCCATCAAATCCCAGAATGATTTTACAAAATCAAGAAAACATAAGTCGATTACTCATTTTCCATAAAACGAATGAATCAATGTTTGATAATAAAATTACCTAATCCGTTAACCTCAGCCACTCGCTCTCATTCTCGTTGAAAATTAGCGGATCTAAAAATAGCAACAAAAAAAACAATACTGGAGTATTTCCAGCGTGCGCGTATTTTCCCAACACAGAGCAAACCCAACGTGAGTACAGGTGGGTTTGATCAACCGGATGCGCATCCTTGAGCTCGCGAAACGACTCCAGTGGCGCACTCGTCTTTTGTCTTTCGATTTTTAATGCTATTCACAAATTCAAAATTTCATTCTGCAGCGAATTATTTTACTTTTCTACTGTTGTAAGACACATTACCTATAAAGAGAATGTCTGGCGCTCCAATACAAGCTCAAAGAGGTTGAGTTCTCAGGCCAAAATATATCTAAGGTACAAACTCATGCAACACCGGTGGTTATTTTTTTTCAGAAGTGGGTCTCTTAGAATACAACTGTCATTTTCGAATGGTCGCCTGTCAGTACTGAATATACTGTCAACTGTTAGAAAATGCTCCATTTTTCGTTCGTTTTTAATAGTGTCTTAAATAGTTAAAATTTGTTCTGTCAGTCCAAACGATTAATACTATGATGTTTTTTCAGACCTTAAAGGTCATGAAACCTTAATTCAAAAATATATCATAAAACGATGTTCGCCATGTTTGACCAATATTAATATGCTCTGACCTCATACCATTTGTAAACAGCATCTGACAGCAACATGACCTCTCAAACTTTTAAACATATAAGCATGAAAATCTCCTTTTACTCATGTTCTAGGCCCTGCGTGATAAATTTCTTGTAAATGCTGTTCTCATTTTAGAACATATCGCAAAACCTAAGATGGGCATTTTGCTGGTTAATCAACCCTTAGATTTTACAAGGTGACGCATATAACGAAAAGCTTGTTCCTAACCTCAATATATCGATAAAAGTTTAAAATAAAGAGGATTTTCCATTAAAAACATGTATGACCTGCTTTCACTATCTTGTATATAAAAAAAAATATTTATAATTTAACATCTTTTACAATTCCTCATAATAAGGAATCTATGGTACTCCGTCAGATTTTTGACCCACCGTGTGCAACGAGTCTAGGAATCTTCAAACTTTTAAATTCGCTTTTCTGGCAACTTACTTTTTATGACATTCATGTTTCTTCCCCTGTACCCATCATATTTTTTCTAAGTACTACTAAGTAGTCAATACAAAACCACCATCGTGCCTCAATTTAGTAGGCACATAAAATTTGTGTAATTTTTTTTTTGTAGAAAAATTGATCGCGAACTGTCCGACCTTGAAATGAATTTAAAATGTTTTATTCAACGATCAGAACAATATAATCCTCATGTGCCTCGACGCTGCCAATGGCAGGGATTTTTTTCGTTTTTTTTTTTTGCCCTGAATCCTACCAATTCGGACTCACTTGAAACTTTAACCGACATTAGACCAAAAAAAGTGCTTCGTCTATCTTGGTTCAAAATACCCCGCAAGAGGCTATAATGTCACGGTTATTAAAATTCGTCTTATCTAAAAGTCTGGGGATGCATCTGTTCATCCTGTCCAAGCGCTTTATGTCCCCCGTACCCAAGCCACTGTCTTTCAGCGAAACTGAGCTGGCTCTACCGCTGGTGCAAAAGCTCTCCGACTCGCACGGACTTCCCTTGAACGTGCTTTCGATATTTCGGATTCTCCGTTTCCCCCACTCTACTCGCTTTTATCACTCCATATAAAAGCGAATAGTGACGCGCTACGTCACAACCACGCTCAAACAACTGAACACCGCGCTTCGCGAAGCTCGTTTTAAAATTACTGGCGGTTTCAAGTGAGGTTAAGCGATTACGCAAGGTTGCGTAGAGTGAAAGATAGGTCAGTGCAAGTTCGTGTTTGTTATTTGTGAGAATTATGGTGGCGAATTTTAATATGCCCAAGAAGCAGGCTTCCAGCATGGAGGATAAATGCGAGAATATTAATAGGTATGTCATTTATGATGAAGAATAAAAGTAGGTTAACCGGTGACAGTTGGCTATCGCACGTTATTGTTTTCCACGTGGTTCTTGCTGAAGGTCGCATTTGACAAGACACGTGGGTTGTATTATTTTGCTAGTATAAGAATAAATAGAAAACAGTTGTAAAACATTTTACATTTATTACAAAAGGTGTTACACAAACGATGCTGCAAAATTCAGTGGTAGAATCAGTAGCCCAAAATATGAAATCTAAATCGGTTTATGTTACGCTACTGATTTTTGCAAAAAATATCCTTCTCTCAAAGCCATATTTTTTCTGACTGAAAAATGTTTCTTGGGTGAATTTTTCGATATGTTTGTTAGAAAAACAGTGCCAGATGAATTGCTAAATTTTTAATTCATGATATTTGCTTCTAAAAATATGCGTCTGTACGAAAAACTTTGAGAGGCTTTAAGATGTTGCTGCTAATTTTTTGAAAAAATCAGTGGCGTGTTAGTCAACGAACAAACATACTTATTGTCACGATCGCCATTGATTTTGTTTTAGGAAATAATTTTATACGTGTTAAGGTAGACGTTAATAATATTCTATACATAGTATACATACCAAGGCTCATCTCATTAACTTGATTTGAAGGGTACAGGGGAAAAACATGAATGACACAAAAAGTAATCTTCGAGAAATGTGACTTTAAAAGTTTGAAGACTCGTTGAATAAGTTGGGTCAAAGATCTGACGGTGTACCATAGATCCATTATTACAAGAAATTGAAAAAAAAAAGCTATAAATAAAATATTTTTTCATATACAGCCCAAAAGCGAGATATTGAGGTTAGAAATGAGCCTTTCTACTAATTTCGGAGACGATCAGTGATCGTTCATCTTTTTTTCCCTGCACGGCAAGTTTTCAATTAGCTATAAATACGGACTGTCATTCTTTTTGCGTGTTTCCGATACCTCATGGGATTGTACTGCATTAAGACTACATGTTGCCGGTTCTAACTACAAAACACCAAATTTGTGACATCTTTTTTCCTCTGTACCCTTCAATTGTTTAAAAATATAAAGTGGACTTATAAAACGGACGTTTAATTACCCTGTATAATATAGAAACTGATAATATCTCCTAAAAACAATCTGTAACGCCCCCTTTAATTCCAATTATACCTGTTGTGTCCACTTGATATAGGGTTGACAACGACTGTAAAAAAATAAATGTAATTATGCAGCTGCTACAAAATTTTCACAAATCAGAAGCTAAATTCACCAGATTAATATATCTAATCCTTAGGTTTTATTTATAATTAGGTATCTCTCATGAAATGTGCTTGGTAATATTAACTACCTGGAAAATATGCCTCATCATCTGCATATGAATTACCGAAGCTATAATATTTAAAGTCAATTTGTTTTCCCCTAGGGAATATTGAACCTGAGAACCATTGGAATGATCAAGTTCACCATAAAAATCATAGCTTTAGACTCTCTTTATATGGATTTTAATATAATTTCTTTACAATCAGAAGCTTTGAGAAATTAGTTTTTATATATTATTTAGCTATACCTACAGTAAGTTTTGCTATTTTCTTCGCAATCTACGGCATATAGTGTAATGCGATTTTTTAACCACTGATTCATGAATAGTAACAGTTGATTTGTTTATATTTCGCTGGACAAATATGACTAAACCATTTTCGTCTGAAAAAAATAGAAATGCTTGCTAATTAAACTTATTTCCTGTTGAAATAAACATACATCATATGCCAAATGCATTTACATTGAAGATAAGTGTTATCTTTCATACGTATGAATAATTTTTAACAATGCAGTTTCCGTTGAAAAATAAGTCACCGAAAACATGTTTTTACCGCTTGGTGCACTTCCGAGAAGCAGATGTTTTGATCCATGATTCACCTCTAGAACGAGGTCGGTACAAAAAACACAACAGCTTATTGCACTTTTGAAGGATTGTTTACTATTGTTTTGTTTACTTCTCACGACTACCTATTTAAGACAATGAAGGTTTAAAATAGTTAAAAACATCGAATCCTAACACCTCAATTTGTCAAATTCAATCCAAAGATAAAAGTAGGCGGGTAAACAATTTTTAGGAATTATTTGTGTAGGAGAATGAAAAAACCGAACATAAATTAACCAATCATGCTATGGAAATTTGTATAATGAAGTAAATAGAACTATAAATGCGTATTAATGCAGAATGAAATTACCTATATTGCGGTCAGTAACTTGACGATAAATAGATAATATTACAATGACCAAATCACATAGTACAGGGGAAAGCTATAAAAGTAAATGGCTCATAAACGTTAAGAAATTTGACCTACTCACCCCTATCTTGAAACGTATAAAAATCCATCATTCTGCCCTACTTCATCCTACGGATTTCCCTTGTTTTCTAGAATCGACCACCCTTCATTCCAAACGCAAGGCCGGTCAACGGCCTTGACTATTCGAGGGCGCCTGGCGCTTGACATTACGCAGAGGCGTAGATATTAGAGTCGCAAAAGGGGGGCTTCAGCAATTCGGGATTTTGATAAAAACACAGTTTCGGGAAACTAACGCGATTATATTATCAGAATCTAAACGTATGGGAGTTATGTTTTATAATCTTCTCCAAAAGCTAACTTCAGCTGTTTCTACATTCACATTTTTTCGACTAGAATTTTCAGCATTCTGTTAGCATAATAATTGAGCTATTTTTTGAAGGAAGGATGGAATGGTAGGCTCTAATGTCATGTTAAAGGCCCACTTAACACCCTAGTTGCACCATGTGTATGACAGTTTTTTCTTTTGCTTACAGAAACAACTTGGGGCGAGCCCTTTTGGGCGTTATATGCCAAGCCCGACAGCAAGGGCGCTTGGTGTGCGGCCTCAATTCCGCCATTGCTAGAATGGCAGCATCTCCAGAAGACGTAGTCTGTTGCGTCTTGCCACAGAGCAACGTCGATCCAGCTCAACATATCCACACCGTGTTGTTACAAGCCGTTTGTTACGAGAATTACATACCTGTGATCCAGGTCAGTATTTAATAATAATAATGTAGTCTACACTATAAAAGGGCGAAGTTTAGTCTCGTTTGGTAGATAATCGAGATTGCATTGACCTTTGCTTAATTATAGATTACTTCTATATCCTTGTTCAAAAATGAGGTAGTTTTTATGATTATTTGGGGAAAACGATAGATACATTTGGGTATCGTCATCATAGGTCATTATTTTACAATTTTGAACAACTGTGGTCAAATTTGAGGTGTATAATCTGAAAAGTAGTGGCCGTAAAACAGAACCTGGTGGTGCGCCAGATTTTATCAGTCAAGTGACGAAATTTTATCGCCTAATGACACTTTTTGACGTTTACCAATTAAATTGTGCTAAAAAATGCACAGTTTTCTTGGAAAGTTCTAAATAATTTGAGAAACTTTTCAAGTTATTTGGATAAAACAGGTAGTAAACTGATTGGTCGTAGATCACTGTAAGATTTGTGGCAAGCAATTTCGGGCTGGAATGGTAAGCCATTTTTTACATGCGTTTGGAAAATATTCGACATCCAGACATTTGTTTATTATACATTATATGTGTTACATTTTGCAACAACCGATCCAAAAACCGTTCACAAAAATTAATGTTCTCCACGAAACTCACCCCTGACTTGAGCACAAAGCGCTGACCCCGTTTTGTTAACAACCATTTACCTAACGATATCAACAAAACAATAAACAATTTGCACGAGGACTTGCAAAGAGCGCACACATTTCTAACGTCCACATTCTCGTTCTTTCAAGATTGATGCAAACATTAAACCGACCTAGTTCGTCCGAATCTGTACGTACCGGCATTGACACATTTATAAAATACGCAAAGGTAAAAGATGTCAATGATTATGGCAAAGATTATTATATTGGAATGCAGCCAGAGAAATTGTCTGAAAACAAGTAGATAATTTGGTGTAAATTATTACGTCGCCTTGAGAAATTCAAGCAAAAGTAATACGTATAAAAAGTATAATAGTTTTGTGAATTCATATCACTGGAGATTGGTGTATCTGGAACTGACTAAAGGTAATAAGAATGAAAAATTCGCGTGCAATAATAGACTTCTTCCAGGGTTCATACCAGTGTGTATAGGCGCTTGAAATAATAAAGGGTGTTCCAAAACTAACGCAAGTTTTGAATTAAATATAAAACAGTTTTCAGATTGTTATTTTTTATTTGCTGGCACATATGTACTTTTTTGTCGAAAATGTTCAGGACGCTTCGACATAATGGTGGTTGAATTTCGTTGATGCATCGCTTAATTTTCTCTTGTAATGCACGGTTGATTGTGGGCTTCTTGATATAGACCTTTGACTTTAAATAACCCCATGAGAAGAAATCTAACGGTGTTAAATCATACGATCTCGGGGGCCACCGAAACAGCAAAGTACACGCAGAAACTGGCTGTATGGCATGTGACACCGTCTTGTTGGACACATTCATAGCGTCCTATTTCGGCAGAAAGACGTGTGTTATCTTGTCGCGATATCAAACACCAGTAACAGTTACTGCTGGTGTGGTCTAATGCTGCCTCCAACGCAAAATCCTCACCAAACAGTGACACGTTGTGGGTGCATTCGTTTTTCGATAATCACACGTGGGTTCTCCGAACCCCAAAAACGGCAATTTAGGGCGATTACGGTGAGAATGTGCTTCATCGCTCAAGATGATTTTGCTCGAAAAAGCAGCATCCACTTGTTGATCAATAATACCATTCCACGAACTCGTTTCGCTGTTCATGGTCGCTTCAGCTGTTGTGTTAATTGAATTTTCTAAGCATGGATACACAGATCTTTTGTGCAAATACGCCGTAGGCAGCATCTTGAAATTCGCAATTCTCGTCCACGACGCCGATTTGACGTTTCTGGGTTTTCACCAACACTCTCACGCACTGCTTCGCCATTGACATTTGAACGGCTTGTTTTTGGACTACCGGTGTATTTAGCGTCTCCAACTGATCCAGTCTCCCTGAATTTATCAATTAATCTTTTCACAGTTCACGAGGTTAAATCACTGTTCCGGCCATATTTTGTATGAAATTATCGAACTGCGAACGCTAAACTTACTATTTTTGAAATATTGTTCAATAATGAAAACAAGTTGTATCACATAACTAACCCAGCTGTCAAATTGTTCTCTTTTCTGGGCTGTCCACAATTTACTGCAAAGATGGTGGCAAATTAAAATGTTTCATTACCCTTCATAAGCAAAACAATTGCCTTCTATAAATATAAATAAAGACACCGCCGAAGGTATCGATATTTTTGCCTATTTGTTGTTCAGAAACGCATCATTCAGATATCAGATGCAACAAGATATCTAGAAGTTACTAGTTTTATCGCTTGTGATTCTTAAGTGAAGTTTTAAACAATAACAAGATTAAGTAGCATTGCCTACTATGACCCTAAATGGATTTACGTGTTGTAGACATCACAAAACAAAAAACAAATATCTGAAGTTATTTCTTCCGCATCCACAACCACCACCATCCCCAATTTTTACCCCTAAAAATGTTTAAAAAATAATCAAGATTCTCTGAAACGTCAAAAAACGAAGTTTGAGTAGTTTTTTTTTTTCGTTTTTGGAATTTTTCTTCGCAGCCACTGGACCAATTTTCAAAAACTGCAAAGCTTTTTCCTCCTTGGCATAATAATAACTGCATATAACATCTCATTTTCAAAAATATTCACTGTTAAAATACCTCCTCGTCAGTACGCGTGACAAAACAAGAAATCTATCAAAGTAATTTCAAGTTATAGAAACAAATTGGTTAAGGTATAATATAAATTTTAGATCGCAGATAAAAACAAATTCAAGAAATGGGCAGCATTCTAAACGGATTTTTGTTATAAGTGCACTGAGGTAACGTAGATTTTATTCTAGGTCTGCTGGTTATTATTTTCTTGACAGGTATGCAGTAAAATAACACAAACACAACCTAAACTTTTCTATGGAAAATATTTACAATTCTGGCATTTTGGGGTTACCTTCACGTCGAAATAGAATGAAAATAATCACTACTTATCATAATTGTCAGTAGTCAGCATTGTCAAATCACCATGGTCATAAAAAGTCTCCTTTCTCCAACTATGGTTATTTTTTATCACTGTCAAAAATAACGTAATGAACGGCTTAACGATTCGTTATTTTTGTTGCACAAAAGACTCTCATTATCTCGGAAAGTAATTATCAGATTTACAGCTTTCAAGTGCTAACCAAATAGATCTCAACGTGATACCTTAGAATATGTTAACGAGGCAAAAACCACAGATTATTGGTTTACAACAGATAATAATTTTAACTGCTTTCTAGTACTACCTGTAGCATCGCCAATCCCGACTAAATAACCATAAGCAATAATTTGTTCTTAGAAAAGGATACTATTCAACCACGATGCTAGTAAATATTTCAATTCAATCTACGTTATTGTAACAAATACGTACAGTATCGCAGTTACAAATGGCGAAGTCTGACCAATGGCTATGACACGTCCAAGCCTTAATCTAAAACTCAGCCTAAGGGAAAATAGTAATAGAAAATATGTTAAAAAGCATATCACCTACAGTGTATTTACACCCAAGATAGAATGGATGCGTGATTGCCAAAAGCAAGGACGGCGTACAGGGCCGCATTCAGGGCTACCTCCGAATGATGGACTACCACCAACGTGTTGTAAAACAAAGATGACAGTATTTAACAGAAACAGAAACTTAACAAATTACTCAAATACACTTAACAACAACAACAGCAACAACCAAGCAAGGTGAATACGACAACACGAGCACGCAGTGATACACGCGACGGACGGTGGCCTGAGTGCAACTCTGCCTGCCCTGCCCCTGCCCCGCGCATTATTCCGCCAGGCGACCGCTTGAAATTTAATGGCGAATTGACCAATAAGAGGCGTTGTCCCCAACTGTTACCGAGAGATCACGCCCTAACTGTTATTATTTACATCTCATCTTGAATTTGGATTCAGTTTAATCTCTGAAAAACGCGGATCTTCCCGGTGTCTCTGTAACATTGTTTGGCAAAACATTTACAAATTAATGTATTTTAAGAGTGCTGCACTTGTAATTTCAGGATGACGTTTCTTACAAGTAAGATCGGTGATATGTGGAACAAAATATTATTTGACTAACATATTTACAAGTAATTACTAGTAATTTACTCGTCTACAGTATATTCAGATAAGAGATAGACCGGACATAAACAAGACCACGTGATCATCGAACGCTGTAACATTCGGCAGGGACGTATTAAGAGTCACGCAGTACATATTTTAGATAGTAGATGCTGCTTTGCGTAACTTTGTAGTAAATTAGCACAATTCGATGTGTATACGATTGGCGATGGATATAGGATCATGTGGGGGTGGGGTAAGAAATATATAATGATGTAAATATACATAAGGGTTTCAAAATTTTCGCTTCGATTTCCAGCTTCGGATGCCGCCTGATGTTTGGTGAAATACAGTCGAATATAATCTCAAAATGGCGTTTAAATTAGCCTAAATTAAAAATAATCGTATATCTCTTAAAATTGCTTTTAGAATATTGATTAGTATATTTTTTGATTTCTAGGTAAATATGTAACCAAATTAAAACGTTCAAAACGTAAAAAAATGTGCATGGTTGAACATTGTCAGAAAGTAGATTCTTGAATAGGTTTTGCCAAAATGGGTTCAAAAATGTCAATAATTAATTAAAAAATACAGTAGCTTTATAATTACTTATAACTTACCGAATTTGATGAACGACATCTTTTATTGGAAAGATGAGCTTGATGAGCTTTCATCATCGCTACTGCCTGAAGCACCAACGTCAATAATGAATGGCTCGACTTGTTCCTCTAAAATATTGTCCAGTTCCCACATTCTCTTTTCAACTTTGTCTTTCACGTGCTTAATACAGTTTTCCCATTTTTGCGCTGTTATTAATTCTAGTGCTTCTTTGAAAAGTCCTTTGAGGTCACAAAATTTAAAAG